CTAATACTCTGTTGTAGCCTCTTTTTAATGCCTTTAGTATATCTTGTGTTATCCCCTATTAATTCATGATGATGGTATTGTTTCCTCTCTTTTTTCTTAATTAGTCCAGGTGTAATTTCTTAATTTCATTAGTATTTTCTCTCCTTGAAGTTAGTTTTCTATTTCATATTGTCTACTTTTTCTCATTTCCATTTTTGTCACATTTTAATATGCTGGGGGTTTTTTTTTGTTTTTTATCTTTCTAAGGTTTTTTTTTAAGATCCTTGACTTTTTGCATTTGTCTTTTTGAAAAAAATTTTAAAGCTATAAATTTACCTTTCAACACAACTTTAGTTGCAGGGCTCAAATTTTAATATCATTAGATTTTTTGTTTTTAACTTGAAAATACTTCGTAATTTCTAAAAATTTCTTCAAGCCAGGTGTTATTTAGAAGTGTATTGCTGTATTTTCTAATGTTTAGTCATTTTCTAGTTACTTTGTTATTGATTTCTTTTTAAATTCACATACAGAATATATTCTTTATAATTTCTGTCTCTTCATATTCTTTGATTTTGCTTTATGATGTAGTATATGTGTACTTAAAGAGAATTTATTATGTAAGTTATTATCTATAGTATTGTAGCCATTATGTCAAGTTTGTTCATTATGCTTTCTAATCACTGGTAAATTTCAATATGCTTATTCTATCAAGTATTGAAATAAGTGGGTTAAAATACTGACTATAATTGTAGATTTTTCTATTTTTCTTGAGATCTGTTGGATTTTCCCTTATGCATTGTAGAGCCATATTTTTAGGTTCATAAAAATTTATTGTTGTATATATCTTCTGGGTAATTCAAACCTTTATTCCTGTGAAATATTTCTTTTATCTCTAGGAATCCTTCCTAAATTAGAGCTTCTATATTCATAGTGGTAGAGACAGACAGTCTACTTCTCTTTTGGTTAGGGTTGTCACAGGATACCTTTTCCCAACCTTTTATTTCCACCCTTATGTGCCTTTCTTTTTAAGGTGTGCCTTTGAAAGGTAGTATATACATGGCTGCCAGCCTTGAATTTCATGATAAAGATTAATACTAAAAAAAGGTGGAAAGGAAGGTGCTTCTCAATGAGACACACTGACCACAAAGGAAGGAAGAGGTGCACCGCATTTCCCTAATGCCTTCTATTGTTTTTTAACCAGATTATAACCCACACATCCTTCCCTCCTCAGTGCAGTTAGCTGTGGTGCAGGATTAAGAGCTAACTGAAGGGTAACACAGGTCTGAGAGCAGATGTGGATGTGAGAAGATCACATCATCCAGTGAAGGCTGGAAGGACTGATTAGTGTATCAAGTCCCCAAGAAAGGACAAGGTTAGAAAACCTTAATCTTAGAGAACTTTTCTGTAGATCTTCTCATACAGATATCAGCACTCTATATAAAAGTTCTGATTCAACAGAGTGAACTGAGTTGGGTGAGGTCAAAGGAAACAGGTGATAAAGGGGAGGAGACCTCCCAAGGTGGGTCCCATGGAGATAATATACCTGGGATCCAGAGTTGACCTCTGACCTCCCTGAGTCACGCACAGTGTCATGTTAGCACGCAACTTAAATCTGAGAAATAAATGCTTATGCTGTGAGTATGAAGGATTATGAGTGTACATTTAAGAGCCTTCCATATTTTCTCCTATTTTCATTCTATAATTAAAGGTAATGAGTATAATTTGACATAAATTATGTCTCCATTTCTTAATACTTTTAGAGGTTTATATACTATGTTCAAAATTTTAATGCCTCCACAAGAATCCTGTATTAGTTAGCAGCACTATCTGTTATGATAGTCATTTCATTTTAAGGTCATTTTTTAAAAATCTCATGTGTTTCCAGAGTAAGATAGGCAGCAGAATCTCTTCTACGCCCACATCAGTAAATAGCTTACTTATCAAAAACTAGGCGTCAGTTTTTGTCCTCTTTAAATCAGGAGGAAATCTTGTTGTGCTTTCTTGCCAAGAAGAGAATCCTGCTTTGTTTCTTGTTCTTAAGTCACTCTTGTGCAAAGCCAGTAATAATTTAAAGCATTAATCTGGACAATTTGTATATATCACATCTTGGGACATAATTCTTAAGAGGCTGACTAACAGTAGAATTAAAAGCTTTCTGGTTCCTCCAAGGTGTTAGCAATCTTAACGGTTTTGATGTTCTGTTTTAATACCATAAATAAATAATAAAGGTACACCATCTACTGATCAAGAGGCCTGCTGATTAAATACATATGTCACTTTGTGCCTAATATGAGAATGAGGGGAGAGAGTTCAAATTAGGAGTAGAGTGAGTCAAAAGTATAGATGGTAGGCCGGGCGCGGTGGCTCACGCCTGTAATCCTAGCTCTCTGGGAGGCCGAGGCAGGCGGATTGCTCGAGGTCAGGAGTTCGAAACCAGCCTGAGCAAGAGCGAGACCCTGTCTCTACAATAAATAGAAAGAAATTAATTGGCCAATTAATATATATACAAAAAATTAGCCGGCATGGTGGCGAATGCCTGTAGTCCCAGCTACTTGGGAGGCTGAGGCAGGAGGATTGCTTGAGCCCAGGAGTTTGAGGTTGCTGTGAGCTAGGCTGACGCCACGGCACGCACTCTAGCCTGGGCAACAAAGTGAGACTCTGTCTCAAAAAAAAAAAAAAAAAAATATAGATGGCATGTTTATTTGCATAAAATAAAAATACATTTTTTACTGCTATTTATACAAAACATGTCCTTTGACATAAAATTCACAAAGACTAGCAGGAATGAAATCTCACAGAATTAAGTTTAAATAAAGTTGTGGGAAGATAATCTAAAAATTCTTATAGGACCATAAATAGTTTGGTGGTTAAATGCCAGGTAGGCATACAGGTCCTCATATTTAAAACTGCCTTCGTGAAAAGAAATATGTTTAAGTCTATAAGATTGGGATACGATATTAATTCTGGAAAACGAACCTTCCTGGAGAAATTTTACATTTGACCACCATTCGTATATAGATATTAAACATGTGCAGTATTCAACTCTTATTTTTTGTCCTGACGTTTTATATATTTATTAAAATTAAATGTGGCCCTTATTTTTGTTTTTCTCTATGTTATTTTGCTTTCTAGGCTTAGAACTTTTAGGAGAGTTGTTTTTTTTTTTTTTATTAAAACAATAATTCTTAAATCAACATGTATCGGTATGATCTACTTGCAAGTATTTTAAGACCGTTTTGATGATCAGCTCTCCTTTTTGACCTGAGCAGGCTGTTATTCCCTAATTGGCTGGGAGTCTGAGACTGGCCACCTCATAGGAGAGGCCAGAGGGCAGGGCACTGGGCTGGCAGCAGATGGTGTCGGTGATGAAGCTACGAGAACACAGAGTAGCCTGTGATCACGTGGGGAGGCTGTGATTGCTACAGGCAAATGCTTGTTCATGCTGCTTTTTCAGATAGTCTGTAAAATTAGCCTGCGAAATTAGGTCCGAAGTCCTTCTTAGAACCCTCTAAAAACTGTTCTTCTGTTCCTCCCTATATCTCCATAGCACTCTGTGCTTTCCAGTCAAGTCATGTATTTTCATGTAAAATGGTAAACTTTGGAGTCCTTGGATCTCATTGTGTGACTCTGAATGGTCCCACCATTCCATCCTTTTGAAAAACCAAGCATTGTGCTTTCTTAGCAGGTAGACACTAACTTGAGTTGCATTCGTATCACCTGAAGCCATAGATAACTGTTAATATATCATACTTTTTCTGATAAAGATGGATACTTAAGTCAGCATTATCCGGTGACTTTTTTTTTTAAATATCTTTTAGACCAAGGTAATTTCCCAAGAAAACATCACATCATGGGGTGAGGTGATCATTAAGCGAATATTCATAGAGCCATTCTGCAGTGCCTTACACCCAGGAAGCACCTGATACATGGCGTTTGCTATTGTTATCATCATGTGACTTTGAAATAGGCATTTCAAATATTTATCCTAAATGGCGGAAAGTTTAATGTATGTGCAAGGCCTAAAAATTTCTTTCAAACCCTTTTAGAGACTGTAAGTTGTTTTCTTGTTATCAAAACTCTTCCTTAGGTTTCTAAGGAATATAAAACATTTGTTTTATCACATTTTTCTTCATTGGGCTTGTTGATTGACTCTGTAATTCCTTAAGTAAGAGTTTTTAAAGGAAAAATTAGAGACAACTTACTAGACCCAAAGCAGTCCAAAAGTTCTTTCTGAATAATAAAAAGTTTTTCCTGAACAACAAAAAGTTGGCCATATGCTGAGGGTTTGCTCAAATCTGTTGGCTAGCAATGTGGGCTCCCCAGTTCCGTCACTGATGCTGTGTAGTCTCCAAGTTTCTTTTCCTCTCCATGTGCCTCAGTGTCTCCATCTGTAAAATGAGATGATAATACTACTGCATAGGGGTGTTATGAGGTTTGTACGAGTTGATACATGCAATGTATTTAATATACAGCCAGATGCACAGTCCTCCGTCAGTATTTACAATGGGCGGAAACTAAGAGTGAGGTCTCCACACCTCCAAAGGTGAAGGTTTAAATTATTGCCTCCTTTTTTGAGCACTGAATTTGCAATTAGTCACTTCTTTATCCCATGTATCACTGTGGTTTGTGGATTCCTAATCTATGATACCTGCTCTCTCATTTCCCTATTAGCATCTAGTAACTCATCAGAGTTTGGGATTCAAATCCTACTGTGAATCTCAGCTTTGTAGCCCATTAAATAGGGAAAATAATCATGCCCTACCTTATGGAGCTAGGGAGTGCATCAAAAGAAGCAATGCCCCAAAAGTTCTTTTCATAGTATTTGTGCGCGGCAGACCTGTGGTAAGTATTATTGTCAATACCACCTGTACATTCCTTATTTCTTTGGACGGAAAAGCCTTCCCTGCTATTCCAACAACTCTTTCAAGGAAGGAAGTGTAATCTGAATAAAACAACCCAATAAGGTATTTTTGGAAAGAATTCTTGATAAAGAGGTCCTGTATCTACTTTTGCTCTTTCAGACATTTCTGCAAGTGGTTGTGGTGATAGCTGTGGCTGTGGCTGTGATTCCGTGGATTGCGATACCTTTGGTTCCGCTTGGCATCATTTTCATTTATCTCCGGCGATATTTCTTAGAAACATCAAGAGATGTCAAACGCCTGGAATCCACAAGTGAGTATGGAGACTCTCAGGTTGGTGGCAGTGTGAGCCATTGATGCCATTGTTAAGGAGTCCCCCTGAAATTCTTCAGACGCCATCTTCCAGAATTTCTCCAACATTAGCTAATTGAATGTTAGGCTCCCATGAGTCAGTGTGGCCCCCAGGGCAGGTGGAGCTGGTAGCATGCCAGGTGTAACCTTGCAGTTTCCAATGGGGAAGAAGTGAAGGACACTTTAGGAATAGCATTGCACTGGAATACGAGCAATGGGGAGACAAGGACCATTTCTGTTTTGTTCATGACATACTTCCTTACACAAAGCAGTCACTCTGTAGGCATTTTTTTTTTTTGAGAAATAAAACATTTCACTATATTGTAACTAATGTAGAAGGGAAATAATCAGAACAGTTTTCTTTCCCTGAAGATGCTAGACAAGGAAAAGTTTCGAGAAAGGAAAGGAAGGCTTAGAAATATCCTCATGTCAGCAGCAATACATTTGGAAAATACATTACTTTTGCCTACTCAATAAAGAGCTAATAAGTTGCAGTCATTAAATGTTTTCAATAGGAAAACATGTTGTTATCAGTTTACCCCTTTATTATCAACGGTACTTGGTGTAATGTTACAGTTGGAGGTCATCCCCAACCCCCAGGCTGTCCCTATAAATGGACACTGAAAATAATCTCCTTGGGAGAGAGATCAGTTTAGAATGCATTTAGTCTATTGTATCGTTCTATTCGACTTCCTGGTTTTGGAATAATGGGGAGAACATCCGATGATTAATCACTCTATTCCACATGTAATCACAGAGGATGAAATTATCTGGAGTTCATCTCATTATGAATGCACACATTAACATATTATTACTGAAACAAAAAATCATAAGAAGGATAGAATTGTTACTTTTTGAAAAAAAAGGTATAAGGATGATAGCCAAAAGGTAAAGAAGGAAGATATTTTGTATCAGAAAACCTCTGCTATGGACAATTACTACAAATGAATGCCAACGCAGGTTTCTGGAAGCCAAGCCAAGAAGAGAAACTTATTGAGTCTCATGGTTGTTAGTATCTACTGTGTGAGAAATATAAAGTGTATTAGGACAGATGTGTGTTTCATTGTAGCATGTATTTTCTTTTTAATAATAAACTCTGAAGATGTATTTATCATAACTGCGTAAAGGAGAGTGGGTGGCAGTTTCATAAAAGCTCTAAGAAAATTTTTCAGTCCTCGGGCAGCTGAAGTTCGGTGAAATCTGGTCTTGTGAGGTTTTCCAGCAGGAAGGTGGAACAGCGTGGTCCAGATGCATGGAACCCTCTGCTGACCTGACACGTTACAAGGGTAGTACTTGACAAAGGCAGAGCATAAACGATTGGATTTGCTGGGAGACCTTTCCCTATACATTTCACTGGCACCAGCCAGTCTTCTATGTAGACAAAGAAGGCAGCAGACATTTTATGATTCGGGACCGCTCATGGACAGCTCTTCAGCAGTAGAGTTGCAAAGGAAGGTTTCTTCAAGGATTGTTCATTCGAGAAGGAACACTTTGATGTAGATTTTGGTGTGTGACAAGGGCCACTTCCCGTGCATGTGGAGAGAAGAGGGCTTACTAAGGCTTTTTTCCAAGCAGCAGTGTGGGAGTTCCCCTCTTGAATCCTAGCACATACCTTAAACTTGAGAACATTTTGAACTGGACATTCTGACAACTTTTGTCATCCCCCTGTTGAACATGTAGGTTTTCCTGCACCCCAGTTGGCTGTAACAATAGGTTAAATATGGATGTTCCCTTCTCCATGTCCCCAGGTAGCAAAATGTGGCCAGTTGATTAGAATTTTTTATTGTATCCTCCCGGGTGGTGGGTTTGTGCCATAAATAACAATTCCTTTGTTTTTTATAAGCTAAAATTGATCATGCTTTTTTGATCTACTACTAGAATCTCCAACCCAAAGACAGATGCCTGATTGCTATGGCAAGAAGTCATAATCCTACTTCATCCTGGTGATTTTAAGGCCAACTAAGCCTTGATTATACTGCCTAGCTACCTGTGGAACCATAGGCTGACATTTAAGGAATCCTCTTTTTTGTTTTAAGAGACAGAGTCTTGCCATGTCACTCAGTCTGGAGTACAGTGGCACAATTATAAGTCACTGTAACCTTGAACTCCTGACTTCAAGCAATCCTCTTGCCTTGGCCTTCTAAAGTGTTAGGATTATGGGTGTGAGCCCCATAATGAGGCCAGCCCCATGCCTGGCCTCATTTAAGAAATCTTAAGAACAAATCTGTAGTTGATTATAATTTTTTTTAAAATTTATTTATTTTTGAGTCTGTCTCTTTCGCCCTGGGTAGAGTGCACTGGCATCTTCATAGCTCACTACAACTTCAAATTCCTGGATTCAAATGATCCTCCTGCCTCAGCCTCCCAAGCAGCTGTGAATACAGGCACGCCATGATGCCCAGCTTATTTTTCTATTTTTAGGAGAGACAGGGGTCTCACTCTGGCTCAGGCTGATCTGGAATGCCTGAATTTAAGCAGTCCTCCCGCCTTGGCCTCCCAGAATGCCAAGAGTACAGGCATGAACCACCTTGCCCAGCCCTATAATTTTTTTTTGGTAAAAGTTAGTGTAGCAATAGGCAGACATAGGAAAGTGCATAAAACCAGGATGGCATTTGGTTGCATCTCTCTAGCCATCTTTATTCATTTGGCAATGCCTGGATTATAAAGCCATATCCAAGTTCTGTCTGTAAAGGTGCTGTGATCCACTAGTTATGCCTGCCCTGGGCATTCGCCAGGGGAATGTGAACCCACATGTCACATACGTTCAGACTGTAGAGCCTTGAGTCTGTCTGCTCATGCCAGATGCCCAGGCTCGTTGTTCATCTTCAGGCGCTTAAGAGGTACAGGAATGGGGAAAGTTATTGGACATTAGCTAGGTAAGATTTTGCAATTTTCTAAACATGGGCTACAAAGTGTGGAGAAATTCAGTGACTCGTGAAATCTTTAACTTCGATCATCTTCCCTCTGAGACACAAAGGCTCACATTAAAAGCACAGCCTTGGGAATAAGACAAAGTTGGGTCTGATGCCCAACTCTAACACCTACTCAGGTTAATTTAGTTCATCTTGGGCAGTGTTCTTAATGCCTCAAGGCTATTTTTTCTCTCTGTCAGATATAATAATACCTGCCCCCTGGCGCTCTTGTGCGGACTGCCTGAGTCAATGCTTGGTAAGGGCACTAGAACTTTGACTGCAAGAGAAGTAACAAAGGCACTAGTGCCTTAAACATGAGAGAATTACACACCTAATAATCATCAGAAGGTCTCACATAGCATCAGTGGTACCTGTACCTAGACTGTCAACTCTCAGACCCATCCCATGCCCTGCTTCTTCCCAGGGAACGTATGCAGTCCCTGTACAGTAGGTCCCAGAGTCCTCAGGGGCCTGGGAAATGCAGCTGTTGATCTTTAGGGGCATGGGAAATGCAGCTGTTAATCTTGTAAAATGGCAGGTTATGTCTGTCAGGACCTACTAGCTAGTTCATCGGTGTTAGCGAGGTCTACTTCAGGATAGCCTGATGAGTCAGTGTTGGGAAGAGGCAACAGAAGCAGAGCCTTTGTTTGCGCTCTCCCTAGGTATTAGTTGTCTTTGTGGACCCCTGGTTCACCCCACCGGCAGCCCACTCAGCCCTAAGTGGGGCATGAAAGAGACAGGATTATCTCTTCACAGGTACTGACTCCTGCCTCACCTTGGTAACTCAAGTCTGAGTTAGAGTTCCTGACTTAGACGTCAGATTCTTCCCTGCTGTTTAGGGCTGGGATGACACCTACCTTTTCAAGCTGACCCTGCCCTGAAACCTAACCCGAGATAAACAGTGGCAACTCTGGTCTCCTGATAAGGGAAACAAATGACAATGGCCAAGCTGTAGAATTTCCTTCAAGTGCCCTGCCTGGCTGGTCATCACATCTCCCTCCTTCTCAGTTGCATTGTCTATGATGACAGTGTTTATGTCACGATACTGCCTTTCTGGGAATGAAAGCATAGCTCTAGTGAATTCTCGGAGCTGTTGGGAGCTAGACTCGTGGCACTCTCTAGGTGAGGGTATTGGGAATTCTGGAATTCCCTGGAATTTTCTTGGGTTATTCTGGAAGCATCCTGTTTCCAGACTGACCAAATCCCAGACCTTCCTTATTGGGAGCGTGGGCTCAGTCCTCTCACCGTATTACTGCTGTCCTAATTAGAAGTGCAAAGTCGAAGCTAAAATAAGTAAACAGTGACTCAGTGTGTTGAAGATGGAAAGTGGTGTAGATGCTAGAGGAAGACCACACACATGCAGCCGGACAGTCAGAGCCACCGCAGAGTGATGGGAGGCTCTCTGCCTGAATTCGATACGAGGGAAATGTCAGATCATGTCCTGGTGGCGAATCTGAGTTCAGGGAAGGTCTTGTTTCTCCTAGCAGTGTCACAGGAGAGAGCCCCTAACACTTGGTGCCCCAGGTCAGGCACCCCACTCCGGAAAGGTCCCCAAGGAGGAGCAGATGGTCAGTGGGCCCACAGCCCGGCTGTCACTCCTCGACCCAGGGCTTCCCTCCTTCTCCGAAGCCCAGCATCTCATACTCAGTTGCCAGCTTTCTCCTTGTTTGTGGGGCTGGGTACGAGGAGCCTGTGTCCCAGCACACGTCTACCCCAGCACCCGGGAACACGTGCAGTGCCCACACGCAGAGCGAGCACATCCGTATTGAGCCAACTCTCACAGTCTGGTGACCCCAGACTGAGGAGCTAGATAGTAAGTTCGAGGGTTTCCCTGGATTCGTTTTTTTCCCTCTGTTATTTTATCACACATAAGCAGCTTCAGATAAGATAGATTTTCTTCACTTCTCCCAAATACCTTGTGTTTTACTAATTGATCTTCTCTTGGAGCTGCATGAAAGTGATACATCAGGGTTTCCTACTTACAAACCCAAAGTAATCATCCCGGACAAGAACATTAAAGGCAATGTGCTAGGTCACATGCTCCCAGTATGCTCCTGCCTCAGTATACCCTCAGTCATGCCAGAGACTGGAATCCCAGGGACTTGTCCCTGCTCTGCGCGTTCCCCTGATGTGCGAGAGGGACGCATGCCCCGGTGGTCGTAAAACAGTGTGCTCAAAACAAATGACCAAGCGTGGGACATCAGGCCCCCAACCAAAACAAAGTTACCTGAAAGGGAATTAGCCTTTTTCATCCTATGAGGTTGACGAGTCCGCCGATGCCACAGTCACATTCTGAAAAGGGCAGTGGCACATGCCACAGGGACCTCCAAACATCAGGACAAGTTTTCAGCAAGGTAGTTATAAAAACATGCATCAGGTTCATGGAGCTGAAGTCTGGACCATGCCAAGATGACTTGACTGGGGCAGGTCCTGTGAGCAACGCACCACCAGGTGCGTCGTGATCAATCTTCCCGCACACAAGTGTGCACAGAAGATTCCCTTGGTTGCAGGGAGGTGACATGCGACAGGTGCTATTCTAGTTAGTAGGATGCAATGGTTATCCCAGCCCTTTAGAAATTAGTCATCTAAAATGGGGACGGATACATGAATAGCTAATTATTTCATTGTGGTGAGTACTCTAATAGAATTATTTTTTTAAATGCCACTAGCTCAAAACAAATCATTGAGAAGTTATTTCTGCCAAAAGAGATGTCAGGTAAGAATACGGAGGGAAGACCTTGAAGGATCAGCTAGCAAGGAAGGAATTATAACTAGATTTGAATTTAGACAAAGATAGCATCAGAGACTTTCGTATCCAGGTCCTAAAAGCGAGGTGTGGTTTGCCCAAGGGTCTGAGGTTAGACGTTCATGGTTCTCTGCAGACCGTTGGGAGCGTTTCTTCTTGAAGCAGAAGCCCCAGGAAGCCTTAGTGTTGGGTGTGGTAGGATGTGTGTGACCACAGAGCGTGGGAGGCTGCTGGGTTCCCTGCATCTAGCCTCACCGAGCTTTCTGTTTTCTGTCTCTTTCTGCAGCACGGAGTCCGGTATTTTCCCACTTGTCATCTTCTCTCCAGGGGCTCTGGACCATTCGGGCATACAAAGCTGAAGAGAGGTTTCAGGAACTGTTTGATGCACATCAGGATTTACATTCGGGTCTGTACATTTCTGGAGATGGTTTCAAAGGCCAGCACCTCTGTGCTTCCCCTCTTTCTTCCCGCTGAGTGGCTCGTGTGGTCCTTCCATCACTGTTCCCTGTGGCTGTCTGTCACTCCAGGGCAGGGGGCAGAAAACCTTTTTTGTAAAGGGCCACCTGGTACACATGTTTTAGGCTTTGTGTGCAACATCATCTCTTGCAACTATTCACCTTGGCTGTTATATCACCTAAGTAGCACAGATGACATATCAGCAAGTGGCCATGGCTGTGTTTCAGTAAAACTTTATTTACAAAGGCACCTAGGCCGTAGTGTGCTGAGCCTTGCTTCAGAGCATACAAGGGGGTGGCAGAGGAAATCAATATCCCAGTTACCAGATTTGCCACCCACTTGATGTGTATTATCCTTTGCATTTGTGAAGTTTGTTTTTCCATTTGGAAACTTTGGAATTTCCTCTAAATCTACAAAATCCTATCCACCTTTACAGTATTTATTGTATTTTGATGATTAAAAAAATGACACTTTAAAAACCACATGCAGATCCTTTTAGTGAGGTATTAAATAGTTATTTGCCCCAGAGCAATATCCACTGTATTCAGGACCCTCCAGTAAGCTGGAGCTGAAAATAAATTGGGAGCCACACTCTCTGTAGTTGGAGAACTGGGAACAGTCAACCCCATGAGTGGGTGAAATACACAGTGAGGCCCAGCACTGCAAGAGATGCATGCATGAGAGCATTTTTCTATGTTGCGCTGTTTGTGTGTGTGCTGTGTGTTGCCTTGTATCGCTTAGCTTTCTGGAATCTGCCGGTTCCTTGGGTGTGCGACTTTGCTGCCCTACTCTGCATGAGCATCTTCTGTAGCTCAGCTGGGCAGAACACCCTGTCATGTTCAGTGCAGTTAATATGGTTTTTGTATTTATTCCTCCTGCATGTTATGATTCCCAAATCCAGAGGCTTGGTTCTTGTTTTTGACAACGTCCCGGTGGTTCGCCGTGCGTTTGGATGCCATCTGTGCCTTATTTGTCATCGTCGTTTCCTTTGGGACCCTGATTCTGGCACAATGTAAGTACAGATGCGGGCAACTATGCATGGTATGATTACAATCTTTAGCTGTGTTTACAGTTGTTAAACTCAACTCTCGCCACCTTGTCCGATATTATATATTAACACTATTTGGTTCTATTTAAGCGTTGATAGTTTTTCAGGTTGGGTATGATTCAGTAGTGTGATCCCTTTAAAGGCATCATTTGGGTCTCTTTTATCCTTCTTTGAATGGGTTGAATTGTGCCTAAATGATACTCTGAATATTCATTCCTGCTAGTGGCTGGGGATTGTGAGGAGAAAATCAAGCTTTACTATCAAGTGTTTTGTTCAGCTTAGGGCTTTAGGTTTTACCTTTTGGACTGCTTAGATCTGTTGGTTGTCGTTGCCTGGTGCATTAGGTCGAGAAGGATTCTCAGCAGGGAAGAACATCGTCATCACTACCACATCAGGTGTTGGTGTGCATGGCTTGCATTCCCCACCCCTAACTCTTCCACAGTAATAACACTGAATGACCGTATTTCATGGTGGAAAACGAGAATGGCATTTTAACCTCAAAAGCATTGGCTCTTCGGACCTATAGCCTTGTTTTTAGCGGTTTCCAACTATGGTTGCATTGGACGTAGAATGTGGAATTACGTAATGTGCTTTGAAACCATAATGACGATTGTCTGAATAATGACATTAGCCCTCACATATGCTGTGCTGTTTTCCAAGTGTATGTTGATCTTGTTGGCATTCATAAACTCAATAATCTTTCTGAATTTATAATCGCTGTTTTATTCATTGTATCACAATCTCAATCAACAGATAGTAAAAGTATAACCGTTGCTACCGTAATAGGCACATTGCGTAATCGTGATGGAGGGCTCCTCCTGGCAAAGTGTCAGAGGGAGCTAGGCTCAGGTTCGGAATGAGGCTGACTTTATTCCCTTCTTCCTCCTCCTGCAGCTTTGGATGCTGGGCAGGTGGGCTTGGCATTGTCCTACTCTCTCACCATCATGGGGATGTTCCAGTGGTGCGTTAGACAGAGTGCCGAAGTTGAGAATATGGTAATGTTTATCGTAAGGCTCTTGGCCTTTTCAAGTCTCCTCGCCATTACATGGCATAAAAGCAATTCTTATGTAAAATATTAAGCTGTTATTTTTACATTGTAGCTAACAGTTTTTTAAGATCCTTCCTCCATCTGTTTAAAGTTAATGTAACATAAAATATATACGTCTTCTTCTCAGTCTTATGTGTGCTATGTCAGCAGGTTTTATATTCATCACAAGCTGTCTTCAGATGTAATAAATGTCTCTGTAGGAGGGAGTTTCTGAAGTCCTAGAGAGGATATGAGCTAATTTCTTAGAGGCATTTTATTTTTGTTTCTTAATGGGTAATTCCTCATTCCTGGTAAAAGAAGAATCTTCAGTGTCTTGAGGTTGTTTGTGTGTTTAATTAGTTTAATCTTTCCCCCTCCCACACCCACCCCTATCAGTTTTATCATTTATTCACTTATGTTTTGAACAGGAGGCAGGAGGCCTTCCTGGTAGGACAAGCCTCATCTTGGAATGTTCTAGTCAGAGGCGTCAGGTTATATGCACCTTCTCCTAAAGGAAGAAAAACAACATGAAATCTTTTCATTTCACTCTTCATGTAGAGCAGAAGGTGGCTAATTATTACAGTACGGTTTGAGGACCACCCAGTTTATTTATTTAATATTTATATATTTATTATTCTTTATTTTTGAGACAGAGTCTTACTCTGTCACCCAGAATAGAGTGCAGCAGCATCACTGTAGCTCACTGTGACCTCAAACTCTTGGGCTCAAGCAATCCTCGTGCTTCAGCCTCCTGAGTAGTTGGGAGGCACGTACCACCATGCCTGGCTAATTTTTCTATTTTCAATAGAGATGGGGTCTGGCTCTTGCTCGGGCTGGTCTCGAACTCCTGAGCTCAAGTGATCCTCCTGCCTCGGCCTCCTAGTGTGCCACGATTACAGGCTTGAGCCACTGCTCCCTGCCCCAGTTTAACTGATGTATAGCGGGTGGCCCTTGTATAGCAAAAGATTTTGATTGGTGACCGTAAGCATGCCTTTCTTTTACAAAGTCCTTATCTTTTACTCAGATGTGAATAAATAGAAGTGGGTAAATAAAATCTATAAGCATTCATTTCTCTAATGCTTTTAGTTTTAATGTAATGTTGAAGGAAGTAGCCATAAGTGAAGGTGTAATACAGTGATGAACAAGGTTGTAAATCGTCAAAGTCCTAAAGCAATCTCTTACTTCTCTCCTGTGGGGATGAAGACCTGAGTTTTCCTTAACCAGCTGTTTACAAAAGATGCAGGTTTCATTGACAGTCTCTTAGCATTCACGAACCAGACCACATCCCTAACCTGTGCGGGTGCCTTATCTCTTTCAGATGATTTCTGTAGAAAGGGTGATGGAATATACAAACCTTGAGAAAGAAGCACCTTGGGAATACCAGAAACGCCCGCCGCCGGCCTGGCCCCATGAAGGAGTGATTATCTTCGATAATGTTAACTTCATGTACAGTTTAGACGGGCCCGTGGTCCTGAAGCACCTGACAGCACTCATTAAATCTCAGGAAAAGGTTTGTTAAACCATCTTGCCTCTTTAAAATTTCATCTAAATAATGGAGCACCACATCTGCTTGTTGGCTTCCTCTTAGACATATCGAGGGGATTTTCTGTTCTATTATAGATGCAAATTAGATCAGTGATAATGTAGGTAAATCTGTCTTGGTAATGACCATGGAATGTGGATACCATCATTTCTTTTCTTTTCTTTTTTTTTTTTTTTTTTTTTGAGACAGTCTCTCACTCTGTAGCCTGGGCTAGAGTGCTGTGGCATCAGCCTAGCTCACAGCAACCTCACACTCCTGGGCTCAAGCAATCCTCCTGCCTCAGCCTCCCGAGTAGCTAGAACTGCAGGCACACGCCACCATGCCTGGCTAATTTTTTCTATTTTTAGTTTGGCTAATTTTCTTTCTATTTATAGTAGAGATGGGGTCTCGCTCTTGCTCAGGCTGGTCTCAAACTCTTGAGCTCAAGCAATCCTCCCGCCTGGGCTTCTCAGAGTTCTAGGATTACAGGTGTGAGCCACCGCGCCCGGCTGTCCACCACTGTTTCTTTATTCATGCTGTGACCTGCTACATACATGGTGGTCGGTGTGCCTTGCGCTCCAGGGCTGGATCTAACCTCACTCACAGTACTGTATCTAACAGCTATTCATGGATGTCCCAGAAGGTCAGTCCTGCCTCTTTGTCCCTAACATTGGCATGTCTAGTCGTATCGATTCTTTCTTCGTGGTATTTCCCAAGTCTTTCTCTTCTTCTCCATTGTAGCAGCTTCCATTCCAGCCCTTGTTCTTTGTCCCTTGACACTTAGTCTTTCCTGCCTTTAACCTACACTCCCCTTTTGCTTGCCTGCCCTCCCACTGCAGACTGTTTCTTTCTGAACAAAGATATCACCTGTGCCTGGCTCCCTGCCAGCTCCTGTCCTGGGTGAGGAGCTGCTACTGCAATCCTGTTCGGGCCCCAGAGACCAGTAACAAAATCATGTGCACACACACACTCTTGCAAACAGCCCATCACCTAGATGGAAGTGTTAAATACTTAAAGAACTGCTCAGCTCTTTCCACCCGAGGCCGATTTAGTGGACTGTAGCCATAGCCCTTGTGCCATGAAAACAGTAAGCGTACAACTTCATACCCAAATGGTACCCAGGGAACAGCTTTAGTAAGTTGCTTGGCACAGGCTGGCTCCTAAGTATTTCCATAGTTTCCTTGTGGGTCTGAAGAAGGTGAGGACTGCTGTGTGAACAGCACTCACTGTAGCTCTTTGTGCGAGTGTCTTTCAAATTCTTTTCCTCACAGCACCAGAAGGGATGTTTGCCTACTTACAATGTGTTTATTAGATCTGACATTGGCAAGGTAATTCTGTTCATTTGTACACATCATAGAAGCCATAGAATATGCATTATCTACAAAACTCTGTTGTGCAACATAGAAAACATAACCTATAGCCCCAAATTTATATTGTTCAATCTTAAAAACCCCCAATTCATAGGATTATCTGAGATCTAAAATCCTTGACAGTAAATTAAATTCGAAGTCTGAATTATGATAACTACAATCCCTTGAGTTTTTAGCTGGGCCTTACTCTACTTGCAGTCTCACCGTTAGCTCCATTTGTGTATTTGGAGAGTGTATCCAGGCAGCGTCGTCATGAGTCGCTTTCCCTCTGTCTGTGCATGTCCAGGTTTCACCCCCTCCACACGTGCCCCCAGCATTTCTGCAGCCCCCCTTGGTGTTGGATCTGATTCAGAGAGGCGCCGTTTCAGGCGGGGACACGGGAATGTGTCAGCATAGTAGAAAAGGGGGCTTTATTCTCTTTCATTCATCTCCTCTGCTCAGCTTCCTGGACGTTATGGTAAATAGGAAAATGTAATCGGTACTAAGCAGGTTTCTAATTCAATGGAAGAAATAGCAAGTAAAAATAAAGAACCAAAATGAGGTAAATACCACCCTAGCCTTCCGGGTTAGATTCTAAACACTGGCTGCCTATTTCATTTAGAGGCTTTTGTGGTTGATTTGATTATTTTAGAGAGTACTGGGCCATTGTAAAGCATTTTCCAGCTCCAGAGGTAGAATTGATTTTGGTTTGTTATTTTTTTTTTTTATCTCGCTCAGAGCTATTACTTGGATAATACATTTTTACAGACGTGTACTAGACCTTGCCATAATGTGCAAAAAGTATTAGTTTCCCACATTTTCTCCTTTTTTACATAATGTTTTCTCGTAGCCCCTCCATTTGAGCCCCGATCGTCCCACTTGCCCTACCTGCTTGCTGCTCCTGGCTGCTGACGCTGCGGTGCCGGAACCAGCAACACCTGCAGCTGCCGGGCCCTGCTGGAAATGCAGACTCTCGGGCCCACCAAAGCCTCCTGAGCCAGAACCGCCATTGAACAAGACCCCCTTGTACTGTCATCTCTCTCCCCTGAGCAAATTTTTTTTTTTTTTTTTTTTATTTTCTTTCTCTGTTTTATTGCCTAGAGTGCCGTGGCATCAGCCTAGCTCATGGCAACCTAAAACTCCTGGTCTCCAGTGATCCTCCTGCCTCAGCCAGCCAAGTAGCTGGGACTACAGGAGTTGGCCACCGTGCCCAGCTAAATTTTCTATTTTTGGTAGAGGCGGTGTCTTGTTCTTGCTCAGACTGGTCTCGAACTCCTGAGCTCAAACGATCTGCCCGCCTCAGCCTCCCAGAGTGCTAGGATTACAGGCGTGAGCCGCTGCACCTAGCACCCAGTAAGCAAATTTCGATGACGGATAATCCTTGCTTTCCAAGAAGCTTCCTTTGATAACTTGACGTATAGGTCATGTGTTACCCCATATTGGCCAAGCACAGAGATGGTTCTGAGTTCCTTTCACTACCTGAAGGGTCAGAATCAGTCTTGCTGCCCAAATAGGGCTTGTGTGGCTACTCTGTGCGCCTGCACAGCTGCAGGTTTCTCTCTTAGTGTCTGCTGTGCGTGCCGGTTCTTCCTCTCAGCAACTGTGATCCCTTCCTTGCTCAGGGCTGCAGTTTCTTGTCCCACGTATCACATTGTGCTCATCTGTATCCATAGTCTGCTTTAAATGTCTAGCAGCAGGACCAGTATGATAGGGTGGTTCCTATAACTGCAGCCGCACTTGTCCCCCGTCTCCCTTCTAGCTGGACTGAGGGAGTAATAGGGTGCCAGGCCACCCACGTGGTAGGGAGGCCATCAGCAGGAGAGGTAAAAGGCACAGGGACCTGGATTTGAGTCCCGTTCTACTACTTATGGTCTCAGTTATTTCAGACAGGTTAATGTTACTAAGCCTTAATTTTCTCTTTTGCAAAATGCAAGTCATAGAACCTAACCTCTGGGGTTGTTATATATAACTTGAACAAAGTGAGGTGTAAAACACCTAGCACAGTGCCCAACACAAATAAACGCTTGATCAAGGACAGACATCATTATCATGGAGCATTAAATGAACTTTAACCACTTATTGTGTGTAAATTGTAGCCCCCAAGAAAATGAGGGGTGGGCCATTTGCAGTCTATTCATGGCTATAAGATTCATTTGCCACTTCTGTGTTCTGTTCCATTTATTGTGTGACTGAACATCATGGTAATAGATTTCCAGTTAAATTTTCAAGACTGAGTGAAATTTTAAACTCTGTAGAATGCCCTTTCGTGGGGACATCACAGGTGATACGAATAATGCAAAAGTGACTCTAATGCAGATCCTGCCCTCAGCACATACAGCGAGTAGAAGAAACAAAGTCATATATAAAACGCTGCTCTATACTACACAGAAGGAGGTCCCCAATTTTATGGATGTTTAGAAAAAAGTGACATGAAACCCATTAGGGTTGGGAGAGATCCACATGAGAGAACAGGTTGTGCATTTTCACAGAATTAGGCATTTGATCCAGACTTTGATGTGTGGTTAGGAATTCGGCAGGTGGAGATGCACATGAAAGGCATTCCCGTGGAGGTCGCCATGAGCAACGGCACAATGCCACAATTACACGTGGGTGGAGAATTAGGGAACTGTAGACTTTACAGGGGAACCACACTACTAGGTATATAATGCACATTTTCCTGCTTAGTCCTCACACCCCAGTAACCCCAGGGAAGCAGAGTCATGGAGTTAAGGTTGGAAAGGGTAATTGGTACCATTTGTAGAGGAGGTTTCCTGGTGCACAGTGCCACGCTTGGAGCTAGCCTTTGGACGTGTCATCTGAGAAGCGAGTGTACAGGGATCATAGTGAGAAGACACAGTAGGCAGGAAGCCAGGAGCTCTTGAATACTCCTAGCAAGTCGTAATGGGGAGCGTGATTCGCTTTTTGGAATCAAACTCATGTCAATTAAAACAAAGTTATAACGCCCAGGTTGGTGAACATGCAGGGAAACGGGTAGGAGTAGAAATTGGTATCATATTTCTGGAGGGTAGTTTGGCAGAACTTAATAGCCTCCTTTGAAAATGTTCATACCTGCTTCTCAGCAATTCCACATCTAAGAATTTGTCTTTAGGAAATAGGTAAGTAAGGTTGTTTGCAAAGATTCAGCTTCAAGGATATTTAACTAGGTGTTATTAATAATAACAAAATATTAGAGACAGCCTAAACATCCACAAATAGTGGATTTGTTAAATGAGTGCTCGTATATACTGTAATATTATGTGGCCATTAAAATAAATTTTTTTGTTGAAATAGTAAGTTAAAACAGATTACAATATGTTTGTATGAAACTCATTTTGTTTAACTATATGGTTTGTTTCCTTAGGAACACACACACACACCCTCAAGTTAAAAAAGAAAGTGCATCAGCGTGTAACAAGGGTTCTATCAGAGTGCTGTGGTTGTGGATAGTACCGATTTACTTTTCAAATTCATTTGCACTGATTATAATTAGGAAAAGAGTTTGTTTTGTTTTGATAGAAGATGAATGCAGCCCATACTCAGGTGAGGGCTGTGGGAATTAAAATAAGGAGATTGAGTCAAGAAACAGAAGTAGTAGTATCTTCAGGGCTTTGTACTTGGTGAAAGTGGGCGTTTTGAGCCCCCGAACTTGGGAGAGAAGTTATGAGATTAAAATGGGGACATCTGAACCTGAGCTGTTTTGGGTGGAGCATTGGATACTGATCAGGTTGACTTTAATGTATGAAGACAGTACAAATGTCTAACAGCCAAAGAGAGTGATCTTGGCCTAGTTGAGAAACATAAAGGAGGGATAGGAGAGCACCTAAAAATAAGACAATCTGAAAGTATCTCTTTGGTGTTGTGAATGTAAACTTACTAATATTGGTGATATTCTTCATAGGCATGTGATTCAGCTCATTGGTGACCTGTGAAAAACTTTGAGTGTGGTTTTTAAGACTTTGAACCCTATAGGGAATAGCTATAGCCACATTTTCTTAGGGTTTCCTTTATTAATTTATTATTATCCTCATTTGAATTTGAATTTGGAGCTCATAGTACTGTAGTTGTATGCGACCCTCAGTGCTCCTGCCTTCGAGGGGTCCCTCTTGGCCCTCTACCAATAGCCTACAAATGTCCAGGTTTGCACAAATAGATTGGTTTCCCATAGAGCTGATTGCCTGTGAGTGTCCCCTCATTCTCACAAACACAGCATTTGCCTGTGTCTTGATGTGTGGCGATTTACACATGAGAACACCTAGAGATGCTCAGAAACCCACATAAGCCACATGTATATATGTACATGCACTAGGACCTGTGTACAGAAAAGGCCCAGTTGTAAAACATAAATTAGAACTTACCGTAATGTTGAAAAGGGCTACAAAGATAATAATATTAGCCAAAGCCAGTTTTCTTATGCTTCATCTTATAAAGATAAATTCTCTTTTGAAATGCTATTGTTAATTTTACAGATTAAAGTTTTTAAAATGTGGAGGTATTCAGATCAGATAATATGTAAAATTCTCAGCACATTATCAGTATACAGTCAAGCTTATTTCCTTTCTGTTTAAAGTAGTAAGTTTGTAAAAATTTACTCATTTATAAATGATTGAAGGCACGTCTTGTGGCCTTCATTGATTCCAGATTCCTAAATAAGAACAATGTCCATTCCTTGGGAAGCTCCCACCAGAGAGTTTACAGTTGGGCAAGGTCAATGGTAAAAAGGCCAGTTTCTGCATTACAGGTCTAAATGCACACATCTGAAAGGCAGTTTGTACAGAGCAGTTTCATTCCTGACCACCACGTTACCTGCATTATATTGATTCTTTGATCTTATTGTCAGTGCGCTTCATTTCTCTCTGCTTTGACTTTCATAAGAGGGATGATACTTGACACAGTGTTTCCCAGGGGGCAATTGTCAGTATTAATTGGTTTGTAAAATGCCTTTTGAACTGCTCAGATGAAAGGCCCCATATAAGTAGCCGATGTTATTTATGTTGTTGTTGATCTCATTATGTATATTTTGGCTACTGGACTTTTCTTTTAAGACACTGAGACTTAAATTTGAAAGTTTTAAGACATTTGTTTCCTTTGAAGACAGAACATAACCGGATATTTAATATGCAAAGTTTGTCTTCCAAAGACCAATTCATCTTAAATGATACAACTCTGGAAAAATGAATACTTGTTTATGTATAACACTTTTGATTTGAATTGTTAACATCTCTGTGAAGAAATCCTCAAGGTTCAAAATACTCAGACCCTAGAAGTAACACTAATTTAAATATTGCCTTTTTATTGGCTACTTACTGCTGGATTTTCACTGGCTACTAGATTGATTCTGTTATTTTTAACTCTTCTTTCACTGTTGTATTTCAACAAGGGGCAGTTTTGCTTTTAGAGGACATTTGTCAATGACATTTTTGGTTGTCAGTATTTGGGAGTGTGCTGCTAGCATGTAGGAGGTAGAGTCCAAGGATATGGTGAACATCCCATAATGCATGGGACAGCCCCTCACAACAAAGAATTATTCAGCCCAAAATGTCAACAGTACTGGGGTTGAGAAACACTTTTAGACTGAACTCAATATAGAACTTCCTTAATTCATCTTCAAAAATCAAAAGACTTCCTCCTAAGTTTGGTGCATACTGCTATTTTTTAATCCCTCCTCCCATATTTCTCCATAGGTTGGCATTGTGGGAAGAACAGGAGCTGGAAAAAGTTCCCTTATTGCAGCCCTTTTTAGATTGTCAGAACCTGAAGGTAAAATTTGGATTGATAAGATCTTGACAACTGAGATTGGACTTCACGATTTAAGGAAGAAAATGTCAATCATTCCTCAGGTATGCAAGTCAGAGCATCGTCACATGCTCCTTTTTATAGGGCAGCTAAATTTAATTGCTTTAATTTTATTGCCTTTTTTTTTTTAATTGGGTGAAAGGATCGATCTTTCCCCCGAATAGAACACATTTTGAACAGCAGGTATTTTCATCAGATGCTAGGGCTTGCTTGTTCCTTCATTTGTTTTTCATGTATGTGTGTGTGATTTAATAATAACTTACCCAGATAGATTTCTGGATTCAAGCTTCCCCTGGTGCCACAGTTTTATCCACTGATAACCGCATAATTCTGAGAATAAAATGATAAATTGCTTGTTTAGCACTCAAGGGGTTTCTACAGGGAAACATGGATTTTAAGTGTCTTGATGGAATTTTGCTTTAGAAAATAAAGCTACCTTTTCTAAGGTGATTATCTCCATTGAGGGCTTTCTCTAAAACCGTGGGGCTGTGAGAATTACATTGGCTTTGGATGCTTTGGGGAAAGTTTAAAAATCTGGTCATCAGTAAAAGATTTTAAGCAGGGAGGTGGTACACCTGTTATGAAGAGATGTTCAATTCACAGAGATAGTAAGCAGAATGGTGGTCACCAGGGCCTGAGGGAAGGTGGGGGTGAAGAGTTACATTGTTTAATGCTGTGGTCCCCAATGCCTGGGCCACAGACCAATACTTAGTTTGTGGCTTGTTAGGAACCAGGCTAAACAGCAGGAGGGCCAGCGAGTGAAGAAGCTTCATCTGTGTTTACAGCCGCTCCCCATCCCTGCATAAGCTCCGCCTCCTGTCAGATCAATGGCGAACCCTGTTATAAACTGCGCATGGGAGGAATCTAGGTTGTAGCTCCTTATGAGATTCTAACCCCTGAACTGAGGTGGAGCTGAGGCAGTGAAGCAAATGCCGCAGAATGGCGGCAAATATATAAATTATCATTAACCGAGAGTTTTGACTGAACAATAAATGAATACGTTTGAATTATCCCCCAATCATCTCCCCCTTTCCCAGGTCCAAGAGAAAATTGTCTTCCATGAAACCGTTCCCTGCTGCCAAAAAGGTTGGGGACCACTGGTTTAATGGGTATAGGGTTTCAGTTTTTTAAGATGAAAAAAATTCCCATGAATAGATGGCGGTAATAACTTGGAAAACAATGTGAATGTCCTTAACACCATTGAACTGTATACTTTAAACTGGTTGTAGTGGTAAATTTTATGTTATGTGTATTTTACCACCATGTTTTAACAATTAAAAATAGAGATGTTCCTTTCAGGAAAAATGGGAAGAAATTTTCAGCACATAATCCCTCTGGCTATTAGAAGCTAGACTTAGTGGTTACAGTAGGTAATGAGTTTAAATTCCCAAGTTGTACCCATTTCAAAAATGGGCCAAATGAGATTTTACTTTGCAGAGATAATGGGGGTAAAGTACTTTCATATCCTTGGATGAAAGGATCTAGAATCGTGCCTTGCATTTACTTTTAATGCTTCTTAATAAGAAATGGTTGTGTGCTTGTGTACATAAAGGGACTCTAAATAAAGAAGTAACGTTAGATGATTTCTTGGCTCTTCCAGTAATGTTTTGGAAGCACATCTGAGCAAAGACTAAATATACCTTGACATCACCAGGTTTTGGTTTTGTTCCATAAGTTTCCACCCTACTTTTGAGCAAATGCTTCTGTGTATATACTCGAGAGAGCGTGCTTACAAAACAGTGCTAAGCTTTGTGTCCATGTAGATTAGGATCACCAAGCATTGTACACACAGAACCTTTATTTCTTAAACTTTGTATTTCTTTGTCTCTAAGGCACAGTGTTGCTCGATAGAAGAAACATAGTCTAGAGTGACTGTGCAATCTATAAAGGGTCCCAGGAAATCACTCTTAGAGAGACATCCTGGGATAGATTGTTTCAGGGCACGTTCTGAGTGTCAGCCTGACCTGCATTTTTAGACTGGTGCTGCCTGACCAGCAATTGTGTGACCTCGATGAAGTCACTTAGCCTCCAAAGCTTCAGTTTCCTCATCCTTAAACCAGGTCTAGTAATTACTACCTCACGGATTTGTTGTGAAGATTTAAACTGGGTGGAAATTGTGGTCTGTCCTATACCTGATTCTTAGGAACGCCCAATAAATAGTAACTGTTTATCACCAAGGATTGGGGTAGTGGACCTTCAGGTATCATTACTACTTAAGTAAAAATGATAACACGTTCGAGAAGACTTTGCTCGTTAATTTCCATTTATGTTTTTGTGATCCTTGATCACTTTCTTTATACCAAGTTATTTATATAAATTTAAATAATGAAGCAGAAAAAAGAAAGCCTACAATAGGGAGAAAAATAGGAGAGAAATTAGTGTTTTTCCCGTAAGGAGCAAAAGGTGAGACTGATGCTTTGCTTTGTTATGTTTTCTGCCTCCTGTCCCACTGTGTTCTTAGCCCACGTGCCTGACCACTGCTCTGGACCCCACTAATGCTTTGCAGTCCCCCACACAGACAGCTGACACTTACTTTCAGCCCTGCCCCACTGTCCCTTGCTATTTTTTGCCTCTCCTTGAGGACAGTGGTTGCCCCTCTCATTTCCGTTGTCCTAGTGCTTGTTGCAGTCCCAAAGAAGTTACACAAGTAGTAATAATTCCTAACACATTTGGAACCCTTAACATGTTTTAGCTTCTTTCCCTGCATCTTTCACATAATCCTTCCAGCAATTCTATTTCATCCTCATTTGACAGATTTAAAAACTGAGGCACAGAGAGCTTCACCCACTTAACAAGTAAACAGCAGAGCCAGGATTCGAATGGAATGCAGGGGGGATTCCTGACTCCAGATTCTGAGCTCCTACACACTCTTCTATAGGGAATGCCTGTAACTACAATACTAGCTCCTCGTTGTGGTTTGATTCCATGTGGGCACATGCACAGAAACAAAAATTTCACAAAGCAATTATTACCTTGTGCTTCTGTGCTCTAATATTTTTCTATTATATCCATTCAGTCCTAGTTCATAAAAACACAAAATGATGGCCACAAGCCACAAAATTGATTTCATGAGCCATTGGTTGCACCTGCAGTTTGCAAAACACTGTGTGAGCCTCACCGTCCCTCCCTGCCTGGCTGGGCTCCTGCTGCCTGTCAGCCCCACGCAAGGAGCTTCATGTATTGTATATTAGTGATGCTCACAGCAGCCTTGCAAGGTGGGTAGTCTTAGCCCCATTTTCCAGGCAGGAAACCAAGGCTTGGGGAAATTTGTATAAGAACTTAACCTTGAAGCAAACAGCCAATAAGTAGTAAAATCAAAACTCAGGACTATCAGACTCCAAATATTATTTTTTTCGATAAATGTTTGTTGAGCTCAGTGATGTCAGGTATTTTACCCACTGTTTTTCTGTCCTCCCCACTTATAAAAGATTCCCAAAAACGTGGAACTTTATTTCTCAATCGGACAGATAGGTAGTTTCGAAAGACTGAATTGTTTGTGATATTTTTTTTTTTTGCCAAAAACTTCAAGTGACACTCAGCACTAAAAGAAAATTATTTTAGAAACAGTCTGTTCACTTATGTTTCATGGGCTAGCTAGCCTCAAGAGGAGATAGTGCAAGCCTTACCTTGTGGGAACTCAGAGCCCTGTGTCTTACATTGTCTTGCTGGCTGCAAAGGTAGGAGAACTCTGCAGACTTTAGATTGCCTGAAGGTTCCTGGTCTGCAGTACAGAAAGCATATATCCCTCTCCCCTGGAATGAGTGGGAAGCAGGGTTACTCGTGTCAGCGCCCTGATTTAGGGAACCTTGGAAGTTTGGAGTAAGTATAGCAAACGGGGCAGCAGGTGCTGTTTCTTTGAGTGGGTGGGCTCGGGTGAGTTAGGCCTGCATCTTTCCTTCCCTGGGTGGAGCAGCTTCTGTGCTTTTTCTCTTCCAGGCTCATCCTCTTAGTTTATGGTTCAGGGTCCTCCCACACTCTTAACCCCCCACCATGAACAATTGAGAATTAGGGGTTAGGTGGTAGCAGCACAGACTTGGGAAGGCACAGGAATGGTGTCATACACAGTCACGGGCCAGTCCTGGAGTCACTTTAAAAAACAAATTCTGTATCCTTAAAAATGTACTCTCCATTTGTTTTTGAAGTTTCAAGAAGCAGCAAATAGTGAAAACAGAACAGGTAGCTGAAATGTATGCTGCTTTTGTGCTCATCACCCAAATTGGTTAAATGCACTCCCCAAAGAGAACACCAAGGTGAGACTGTGTTCAGAGAATAGCTTGCTTATCTGCAAGGATCTGAAAAATTGAATTTCAAAACTTTTGGATGGATATTTTACACCTAGAGCCCTTATCCTATTGGCACAAAGAAAATGTTTTCAACTGAGAAGTAATTCCATGCAAATTCAACATTCATGACAGCACCCTAAGGGCGGGCACACATCCACAGCTATAATCTTTGTCATGATGAAACAGATTCATTTTGTATGTTTAATAGATTTCTTCTGCTATCAAAGCAAAAGCTAGGTACTTTTTCAACAGCCCACTGCTAAAAGTCTTCTGTATTTTGGTGTTTTTCTCCCCTGAGTTTACTTCAATAGGTTGAAAAGGTTAACCCGAGCTGTGTCTCTTTAAGACTTCTTTTTTTATTACCTGATTTTCTTTCCTTTTTTTTTTTTTTTTTCTTTTTGAGAACAAAACTCAGAGAGAAAAAGAGGTAGGTATGCTGTTACTAGTAAAGAAATACAATTGGATTCTGGCCTAATGCAGTGGGCCTTTTGTTTCTGCATACTGAAATCTTCATTAAAGCCCAGGGAACTGCTCCCTGGAGCTGGTGACCTTTTGTATCTAAAGAAGACTTTACATGACTTAAATTCTTTTTCCTTTGTTGGCAAACAATGTTCTTTTCTTCTGAGAATGGATGATGATCAGTTTATTTGGAGGCTACAGGATTAAAAAAAAAAAAAAAAAAGGAAACCAAGATTTAAAGTGAGTTCAGGTGATTCCTCATTCTTCAGCTAGGGAGATGAGCTACCTTTATTAAAGAACCTCAGGAAACAGCAGTAGCAGCTACTGTAGAATATATATTTTAGGGGTTGGAAGTTTCCTGGTTTGGGACCCAAAAAGACTAGGGTAATGTGAAGTGTTGTGCTTTATCTTGCCCAGTTTGTAACTATTCATAGAGCTTTTGTCTTCAGTCCCAGGTCGTTTTAAATATCTGAAGGTTAGTGGGTAGAGTTTCTTCTTGAGATAATGAAAGGATTGTCTTCCAGTGCTATGTACAAAAGCTCTAGGAAGACTGCAGTTTTCAGTCTCTTGCAGTTGTATTGAGGGATTATCAATTTACGACACTAACTACTGTTAACGGAAAACAATCCAAACTCTGTAAAATAATTTTAAAGAGATTTATTCTGAGCCAAATTTGAGGACCATGACCCGGAGCCACTGCCAAGAGGCCTTGGGCAAGTGGACTCGCTGTGGCGGGTTACAGTTTGGTTTTTATACATTTTAGAGACAAGGGTTATGGGTAAAGCCATCAATCAATGTGTGGGAGGTATACATTGGTTTGGCCCAAAAAGGAGGGCCATCTCGAAGCGGGGGCTTACAGGTTATAGGTGGGTTTAAAGATTCTTTAGATTGTAATTGGCTAAAGACATGAGGCTTTGTCTAAAGAGGTGGAATGTTTTAACATAAACTGTTTACCAGAGATAAGCCACCATTTGTTGCAAATAGAAGGCCTGCAGGCTTGTCTTGCATACCCTCAGGCCTATTAGTGGGTTACAAAGGAAGTCTCCAAGAAGGGAGGGGGGCATAAGGCCTGTCTGACCTCCCTCCTCCTGGCAGGCAACTTTGCCCTTGAATATTCCTCTGGCCACGAGGGGGTCCATTCAGTCAGCCGGTAGGGGTTGAGGATTTTAGTTCACACTACTTTGATTCAGAGTGGTCATTTCTGGGTCACATGCCTAATAGGAACTTACGTTAGTAACACAGGAAAAAATTACTATTGAATTTGGAGCAAGGATATGAAAAACAAAGTATGAACTTTGAACGAAATCAGATTTGATACTAGTGTCCTGTTTAATATATTACATTCCTCAAGATCATTTGTTTTCCTGACTGTATCATGCCAGCTAACCGGAGGTTAAAATAAAACTCTTATTAAATGAGATTTAAATATGTACCTTCAGAAAAAATATACTTAGCCTTATAAATTTTGTGTCTGTTTACATGAAGGTTGTATGTCCTACCATAAATCTATACTCTGAATTGTTCTGCCTACAAACATTTTTACAACACTTATTTATAAGATTAGCTTATTAACTTCATTGCATGGAGGTAGGTGCTTTAAATAATAATATCTATCAGAAATGATAATTAATTTGACTCTTATCTGCTCTTGCAGTATGTGTCTACGATGAGCACTTTTATTACCTTTTGAAGATAATATAATGGTTTCTTATTTGGCAAGGGAATGAAAGTAGAATGAGCAGAAACCAAAATGAACACCAGGCATAAAACACATTGGCATATTAAAACAAACATTGTTAACAAATTGCCTTCTGGTTTTAAAGAAAAATATAGCTTCAATCAGTTAATGTTTTATTAAATCACTCTCCTCATTCAACAAGTTTTGATTGAAATTTTATTCATTATGAAATATATCTTTGGCATGTTGTAACAAAGAAAAATACTCTTATTTACTAAACTCTTCTGTCTAATACTGCTATATAAACACCAGTAATTGCCTAATATTTCCCTTTAAATTGACAGCATAGATTTAAATAGGGACCCTTATGGCAGTGGGAAATGCTGAAACTTAAGTTTTGTCTTTTTGTGGCACTCGGCAGTGATTTGGTGACAGTGAGCAGACTGGCAGGGCCTGCAGAGTGTCAGGTCAGTGCTGGGAGCACAGGCTCAAGCCACCGCAGACATTGTGGGGGTCTAGAGTGAGCAACTCAGGGGTCATGTGAAGGATCTCACTTTAGTTCCCAGTCTTTGGAGAGATTCATCTATTTCTAGGAGTTTCCTAAAGGGAACAAGGTGAGGAAGGTGACAGGCGAGAGCTGGATCATGGAGTGAGTAGGGTATTGGACTTAAAGTATGTGTTCCTGTGCCTGTTCCTTTGAGCCACCAAAACCACTGTTCCCAGATACTCCCAAACACACCAGTACTATGAATCCTTTCATTGGTTAACAAAGGAAGAAAGGTCAGGCTTTAAACAGCAAAGGAATTTTTTTCAGAGATTGTCTTAGGTATCTTCTCTCTAGAGTGTGCTGTGAAAACCCAGGTAGATACTCTGTCAAACGTAGGCCTGTTACCTGGTGTGATTTTGCTCTATTAGTGGAACCTGAAGGGAAGTCAAGTTCAGGTGATATAAGCTATTGTGGACAGGGGATGGCCTTGTCTTTTCCTTTTTTTTTTTTTTTTTTTTTTTTTTTGAGACGGAATCTCACTCTGTTGCCCAGACTAGAGTGCCATGGTGTCATCATAGCTCACTGCAACCTCAAACTCCTGGGCTCAAGTGCTCCTCCTGCCTCAGCCTCCCAAGTACCTGGAACAATAGGTGTGTGCCACGACGCCTAGCTAATTTTTGTATTTTTTGTAGAGATGCGGTCTTGCCATTGCCCAGGCTGTTCTCGAATTCCTGGCCTCATGCAACCCTCCTGCCACCATGACCAACTTGGACCTGTCATTAACATTATTAGTAAAGAGACCAGCCTCTCATGGCTCTAGATGGGCTCAATGCTGACTTCTTAACCTGTCCAGTTTCATCCCCTTTATCTCCTGAAACATCCATGCTCAGAGTCTCTCAGTTTTGGCCCCTGAATAGAAAAGACTGCCCACAATCAGAGCCCTTTCAATAGATGGGGGAGGAGCAAGAGAGAGCGAGACAGAGAAAGAGAAAGAACCATGGGTGGCAGCCTTCCCTCACCTGGCCAGTTGTTTCTGTGAACCTTGTATAGACAATGAAAGGAAAAGAAATTGCCCAGCTTGTTGAAATATTTAAGTTGATAATTACAAAGAGTAAGGGTTTTTTTGTTTGTTTGTTTTTTGGGTTGTTTTGTTTTGTTTTTGGTGTGAAATAAGTAGAATGATGGTTACTCCCCTTCCAAGACATTCCCACCATTACTTAGACAGTTGTTTGGTCTTTGATCCTAAATTCAGTAGTTTTAATGGGAGACCTCAAATGTGGCTCTCATGATTTTTCAGTTCAATTCAGTAATCATTTGGAAACGTTGTAAGACCAGTAATTTTTTTTTCCAGTGCTTTCAGGACTTATGGGCTGCTTAATTAACTTTATGCAAATAAACTGCCCATTTCAGTGTCTTTTTAATATTTGGATTTTTGCCAAGGGATACATATGTTTTGGTATCACACCGTCTGCTTTCTATGTCTGTTTTCCTTTCACCAGTCTTAAAACTGAGATAATCAGTGTCATCCTTCTTCATGACCAGAGAAAAGTCTTCCTCCTCAATCTTTTGAGAATCGAGGGGAACAGTCCAGCCCCAAGGCCAGGAAAGATTTGAGGTTGGTGTTTCCCTGGAGCAGTTCTTCAGTACCTGTGAAAGAGTCTCATCTTCTCCTTTCCCCACATCTGGGCTTCCCATTGTTCTGCCACCTTCATTCAAAGTAGTCAAGTGGGCAAGATAAAGCTCTTAGCCTTGTGGCCTGGGTTGCTAGAAAAACTAATAAAACTTTTAAACATCCTACATAAGCTTATGGATAAGATTCTTGAAATCCAGAAGGAGGCCAAGAGTTATTTATTTGTGGGTTCCTTGACCAGATGACTAGGAGCAGTTATTTGAATTAAAACAATTTTATCGAGATGCACTTGTCAGTGGGCTGCTCTGAGCCCACTGAGCTCAGAGTGGGTTACCTGCTCTTTGAGTTACTAATGACATCCTGTGGGGCATGTTGCCCTGATGAACAGACAAGATAATGTGGGGATTCGCTGATGCAAAAGTAAAGGCCATAGCTTCCTGAACAGAGGCACCATTGACCCCATTCATTTATATCTCTTCTGGACAAAGATCTGAATGTCCCATTCTTTTTTTTTTTTTTCTGCATAAAATTTATGAATGTTAACTTAATAAGTATATATTATACAATTTTTTTAACCAGTTCCTTTTTTTTCATGTGATGACTTGATACAGGTATACAATATGAATTAATCAAAGCAGGGTAATTGGGGTATCCAGCACCTGAGGCATTCATCCTTTCTATGTGTTAGGAACATTTTGTGAATGTCCCATTCTGAGGTGTGGAGAGATCCCCAATCCTGGGGGACTGTTTTACTCACGGAGAAAATGTCCTAATTTATTCTTAAGTGCAAATTGGAAAATATTTAACGATTTTGCTTTGAAGCACAAACTTCAACTAAACATGCTGTTGGTGTCACCAGGATTCACAATCTCTATAGCTTTCTCAATAGAAACTTTCTCAAATAATTATATCCTCGTATGTCCTGTTTAAGCAGCGATTACCAGGAAAGCATTTGTGCAAATCAGGTCTTCCTTTTTCTTCTTAAAATGGCACACTGCAATTGTTTTCTTTTGTTAGTGTTCAATGGTCTGAAAGATTTTTTCCAGCGTGCTTTGTAAAATGGAAAATTAATTTGTAAACAGGCATTTGCAACCCTATAGCTAATGATTATTGTGAATTTTGTATTTTTGTTGTTGTTGTTTTGTATTTTAATTGTATTCAGAAAGTTAGCATTGGAATAAAATGAAAAGAGGCTACGGTAATGACGTTCACTATTTTGGGCATTTAGGAACCTGTTTTGTTTACTGGAACAATGAGGAAAAACCTGGATCCCTTTAATGAGCACACAGATGAGGAGCTGTGGAATGCTTTAAATGAGGTAATTTATCAAATGTAATTGTCTTTACTTTGTTAACATCAGCATATGTATATGTACATTTATAGTGTTGCAGATAATTAAGCGGAGCTTACTGGTTTAACTAACTTGGTTCACTACCCAGGAGAACATTGAGGATATGGATCTACTTAAACTGTGTATTGATGATATTGACGATAGGGGAAACCAAAATAAAATGTCTCACATTCTCATTTTAACTCTCCTCCTGTATCTCATCCCAACAGCCATAAATATTTTTATTTGCCCTTAACAGAGCACTAAACTACAGCTCTGTTCTTAGGACACATCTCGTAAGTGAAGACAATAATAGTTTTTCATTATTAACCGAAAGATAAATAATTATGAAGTGCTTTGAAGTTTTATAAGAAAGTGTTTGTAAAGGTAAGTTATATTGATAATTCTTGATTGGCAAACATGTAACTTTAATAATGCAGAGTAAATGCAGTTAATAGTATTCTGTAGGTTTTGCTAAGTTTTTATGCCAATATGTTGATTTCTAAAGTATTTTCTATTATTTGTGTAATGGTTTTCTTTGGGCCACTTCTTGGAATTTCTTCACCCTTGCATGGAAAGGATGAAAAAGTGCTGTTCATTTGTATATTTTAACACTAATGAACTTTCATGTTCACCCTAGTTCTGCAAATTAATTCTAAACTACTTGATGATAGAAATGCTATTGTAAGGTTCTAGCTCGGTCTCATACTTTTTAAAAGTAAGTACTTAATAAATATGTATTGAATGGTTGATTTTTTTTCATTTCAGAGAATTATGGCTTGTTTCTTTAAAAAAAAAAAAGTAACAATCATAGTGACCAATTCCTTACCATTGTTATTGTTGTAAATGTTGTTGTCATTGTCGCCCTTCCAGGAATAGCTCTGAAATCTTTAATAATTTATAGACGGGTTTTGACTGTGAGCAGGCAAATTTGTAGGCCTGACAGTTTCTGCCAGCAATTCTTGTTTCCGAAGGCATGTCCGTGCCAAGTCTTTACTCATCCACCCTGCTTTGCAGCAACTATGCAGATTTTATTTTCCTAAATTGCATCACTTCCTTCACCTTTTTCTACTTGAAAATAGTTGACCTCTGATTCCATTTTAAGTTGTTGAGTCTTTCTACAAAGACATTTTAGAAGATGAGAGGAGAGGAGACAGTTGACTATCTAATGTAAAGGAAGCTAATTGACCCCTTGATTAGCTTGATCTCACAGGATAAGTTGTTTTTTTTTTTTTCCTTTTTTTTTTTTGAGACTGAGTCTCACTCTGTTGCCCGGGCTAGAGTGCTGTGGCGTCAGCCTAGCTCACAGCAACCTCAAACTCCTGGGCTCAAGCGATCCTTCTGCCTCAGCCTCCCAAGTAGCTGGGACTACAGGCATGCGCCACCATGCCTGGCTAATCTTTTCTATATATTTTAGTTGGCCAATTAATTTCTTTCTATTTATAGTAGAGATGGGGTCTCGCTCTTGCTCAGGCTGGTTTCGAACTCCTAAGCTCAGACAATCCACCCACCTTGGCCTCCCAGAGTGCTAGGATTACAGGCATGAGCCACCCACACCCAGCCTCACAGGACAAGTTTAATAGTGAAATTGTGACACACCTTAAAAAAACGAGAATTACTAGTAAAGTATTTTTCTATTTGCTTCATGCCTTGGGATTTCTCATCACAGATTCTCAGATAGTAAAATTACTTTAGAAACACATTGCTCCATGGACAGTGGAGAAATGTTAATTGGGAGACCGTCCTATTAAAAACCATCATAGAAACTTGTCTGTAACTTACACTTACTGTATCTGTGGTAGCCAAAATTAAAATAACATTTAGTAGCCTCTTAGTATTCTAAAAATGATGAGCTGGTGGAAGGCAGAGAATGCTAAGGTCCACCTTCGTTTAAACTGCATTTGGAGCTTTCTGTAAATAGAAATAACCGTGCACATACTCTGAGGCCTGGCTGCAGAGTGTAGGGAGTGATTTCTATGTATTGCCCTGGAACTGGCCTCAGAGTTTTAGTGATACCTCTTCCAAGTGAGAAATTACCCCATCATTGTCTTTCTCTGCTATTTTTTATGACATTATAATATTCTCCATGAAGGATTTGATGGAGTTTCTGAAAATTAGGAAGCAACATTGTGGTTAAATTGTGATTCCACCTGTTCTTAATCATACACATATTCTGGAACCTATACCTAAGAAAGTTATCAAACACTGCTTATGTAGGGGTAACAAAACAATAAATAGTGCATTTTTTCCCCTCTACTCTTTGGTTTTTCTGAATTTTCCAAATTTTCTCTAGTGCACTGACATTCTTTTATTATCTGCAAAGGGAAGAAAAGGGCAAGCACTCCTAGCAGATGAAACACTGTGAATTTTTCACAATAGTAATTAGAGTTTCATGACCACAAGTTTATGGAGTTCGAGATCATTCTGATAGGTTAGGGATTCTTCCTCTGGAGTCCTTGGGATCACAGCGTCTTTTGACAGAGTATTCAGCACTTCGTTCCTGGGAGTTGTAAGCATAAAGTTGTGTGTGTGTGTGTGTCTGTTTATCTGGAGAGACATCACACACAAAGGATTCAGCACTGTTGTCACTAGTGCCTTTCAAGTTCCTCTGGATTTCTCTGTCACATTCTGTCTGCTGTCTCCATGGCTTTCTTCTTTCTATTATATCAAACCAGGGTAGCATAACTGTATTAGCCCATTTGCGCTGCTTGCTATAAAGAAAATACCTGAGGCTGGGTAGTTTATAAAGAAAAATTTGGCTCATGGTTCTGCAGAATGTGTAAGCATTGGGCCAGCATCTGCTTTTTTTTTTCTTGAGACAGAGTCTCGCTTTGTTGCCCAGGCTAGAGTGAGTGCCGTGGCGTCAGCCTAGCTCACAGCAACCTCAAACTCCTGGGCCCAAGCAATCCTCCTGCCTCAGCCTCCCGAGTAGTTGGGACCACAGGCATGCGCCACCATACCCAGCTAATTTTTTCTCTATATATTAGTTGGCCAATTAATTTCTTTCTATTTATAGTAGAGACAGGGTCTCGCTCTTGCTCAGGCTGGTTTCGAACTCCTGACCTTGAGCAATCCGCCCGCCTCGGCCTCCCATAGTGCTAGGATTACAGGCGTGAGCCCATGCCCAGCCCAGCATCTGCTTCTGATGAGGACTTCAGGGAGTTTCCGTTCAGGGTACTGTGTTTCCCTGAAAATAAGACAGGGTCTTATATTTATTTTTCCTCAAAAAGACACCATAGGGCTTATTTTCAGGGGACGTGTTATTTATTTTTTTTAAGTACGGTACAACAATCTACATTTACCCAAATAATGGTTAAGTTGTCTTCTTCTGGAACATCATCATAACTCTCCAAAACCCCGAATTCTATCCTGAATTTCTTGCAACTCTATTTCCTTTAGAACCATTGGCTCCAGTCTCTCATGTCGAGCACTAGAGCTCTGATGGGGCAGATGAGAAGGGCTGCTCGTCTTCTTTCCCACTCTGCAACAAAAGGCATGGGTTGTGCAGATATGCTGCGTAGCCACACCCATCACTAGGTCTTATTTTCGGGGTGGGGCTTCTATTGCGCAAATGCTTAGAAACCCTGCTAGGGCTTATTTTATGGGTAGGTCTTATTTTCGGGGAAGCACGGTAGAAGGCAAAGCACGAGTAGGCGTGTCACATGGTGAGAGAGGAGGTAGTGCTGGACTCCTCTAAACAACTAGCTCTCACACGAACTAATAAAGCAAGAACTCACTCGTTACCCTGGGGAGGGCACCACGCCATTCCTAAGGGATCTGTCCTCATGACCCAAACACCTCCCACCGTGCTCCACATTCAACACTGGGGATCAAATTTCAACACGAGATTTGGAGGGGCCCAACATCAAACCATGTCAGTAACCCATCCTACAACTTCCATGGTTGGTAGAGGACCTGCTGTCATTTGGAAACTCCCTTCAAGAGGACTGGAAATCATACTGAGTTAGCCTGTACGTGCTGCCATACTGGACATGGGAGCTTAAACTCAATAGAGTTGGCTTGGGATTCATTAAGAAGGCAATATTGGGTTTTTTTGTCTTCTTGAACTACTTAGGAAAGGTGCTTTTTATTTCTTTAAAATTTTCTTGCTCCTTCCTTCCCCTTCTCCCTTGGAGAGGATGCTTCCAGAGATGGAGAGGGAGGTTTGGCATCCAGAAGGGAGACAGTCCTGTGGATGTTGCCCATCTCATCTCAGTCCTTTATAAAAATATGCTGAAAATTGTTTTGAATACCTTAAAATAGTCAACCGTGAGCTGAAGAAAGTTTACTATTCATAGAATTAGTGCCAGTTACTAAAAAGTAATGGCAGCTCTATAAACGTAAGCAGTGACTAAAGACTGAAGCAGTTTATCAGAAAAAGATCAAAAGATCACAGTAGATAAAACTCAGAAAGTGAATCACCAGCATGTTATTTCTGTTAAAAAAAAATCTTTAATACTTGGAGATGCAGTTAAGAATAGGGTATGTTGTGTCAAAGCAGTGAAGAAATCGTCCAATTATGTTGAACATTGATAGCATCTCTATTAGAATACAAGTGAGTCTTCTATTAAGGTAACCATGATGCAGAAATCTGAACATCAGCAGCGTACACATCCTCCGGGCCTCGTTTGTTCCACCCCGGCACTTCCATTTCCCCCAGGCCATGTATCCCGGGGAATGGGTTCCTGCTTTCCTGCACTGACCCTTGGCTTTGCTCTAGTAAAAGCTTGTCCCCATCTGCTGATTTGCCTTTGATCTCATTTCAGTCTCTCCTATCACCCTTTCTTTTTGAAAAGTCAGAAAGTTCCAGAAAAACATGGACATAGACTTTGACATCCATGTGCATCTCCTGTGAGGGGTGTGGGCACCTAGTAGATAACAGTGCACATAATAGGTTACTTTGAACGCATCTATGTTGATAGAAGTGGAATGTCTTTTAAGTTCAGTTTTTCTATAGTTTACTATTTTTCTAAGCTTAAAAATAATCTGAAGTACTCTATACTGAGATGTATGGTTTCAAACAGTATTATTTAATCAGTTTGTCTAAAATTCTCACTTTTTCAAAATGTAGAAAACTTAAAGCTTTCTATATGTTGAGGTGTGATGTTGTATCTTGGGACCAAGATATAACATCACACCTAATTTCTATAAGGAATTAATTTCTATAAGGAATATATTTCTTTTACAATAACATTTAATAATAAAGTGATATTTTATGTAAATTCTGTATCTATATGGATTTAGTTTTTAATTTGTAAGAAAAGACATGTCACAAAATGAGATGTACTGTGACTTCATGGATACATTTAACAAAGATTGGGAGCATTTTACCTAGGCATTGTAGATTCTGAAGGTATAGCAATCATCAAGAGACATAAAGTCCCTGCCCTCTTGGAGCATAAATTCTTAAAAGAAGACAGAAAATAAGGAAATGGGTATTTGATAAAATGTTAGGTACTAATAGATGCAATGAATAGTGCAATAGAGCAGTGCATAAAGAGAGCTTGCTGATGGTGTCATTAATAAAGGGAGTGTCTACTGATCTCTTATTTTGTGTCTAGCACTGTTCTAAGCACTGTATAAACTGGCTCATTTTATATTGCAACAGTGTTACAAAATAGACATCTTTATTGTAATAATATTATGACCTTATTTGCAAGTTAGGAACCTGAGATAGAGAAAGTTCAGGAACTTGCCCCAGTTGACAGAGCCAGGCAGGACTCAAGCTCAGCCTGTCTAACTTCAAGCCCCCAATTTTTTATTTTAAAATCTTCATATCACAGAAAAGTCAAAGGAATAGTATTTTGAATACACAAATACCCTTCACTTGGATTCACCAGATGTTAATACAGTATTTTACCACATTTGCTTCCTCTCTTATATATTTTGCTGAATCAGTTGAAAGTAAGTTGCAGACATTTTCATTAAGTTGAAACTCAACCTTAAATATGTAAGTATGTACCACCTAAGAACAAGCACGTTCTCCTACATAATATAATGTAGTTATCTCACTCCAGAAATTTAAAAGTAATGTAATACTGTTTTCTGTGGGTTTAAAAAAAATTTTTTTTTAAATATTCTTTATTTTTAAAGACAGGGTCTCACTTTGTCACCCAGGCACTATCATAGCTCACTGCAGCCTCAAACTCCAGGGTTCATGTGATCCTCCCATTTTAGTCTCCTAAGAAGCTGGGACTGCAGGGGTACACCATCACACTTAGCTAATTTTTAAACTTTTTCATAGTGATGTGGTCTCACTGTGTTGCCCAGGCCGATCTCAAACTCCTGGCCTCAAGTGATCCTCCTGCTTAGGCCTCCTTAAATGCTGGGATTACAGGCTTGAGCTATAGCATTTGACCTGTAATTTCGTTATCTAATATAGTTTCAAATTTCCCTAGTTGTCACTCTTAGTCCCTGCGTTCTACTGCCTTCATTATCTTTTTCTTGGTTCTAATACGTAAAGGCATGATAACATTATAGAGGGCCTTCACATTTGTATCATTCTCATAACTGTCCTGATTCATAAATGAAGATAGAGTCTCAGAAGTCACTGTTTTCTGTAAAATGTCTTATTGTTTGTTCTTCATCTCACAACCCTTATTCCTCAGGTAGATATCTACAACCTGAAGGAGAATAAAAACCAGATTAAGTGATGAGATGCTACCTTAGTCAGGGGCCAAGTGTGAAATTATTTCTCCAAAGTCTGGCTATATCAGTCTTAAGAAAGACCCATTTGTGTGTACCTACCAGGTATATTTTCAAAGTCAATTCAGAAGGAAAAGCTGATAAACACCTCGCCACACTTAGCTTTTTGACAAATTTCAGTCATCTGGGGTATAGATCCATGAATATGTGTCCTTAAAAGAGTACTTTTATGTTCTCTTCCTTGTATTGATAATTAGAAAGGGCTTAACTAAGCTGATATCCTATTTTCTATAATTTTTGGTACAGAGTCTTACACCATAATCCAAATCTTACACTTGAGATTTTGTATAACATCCTACCTTGCATGCTTATGCTAAATACCAATACCTTATTTAATTCTAACTCAGAATTCCTGATTGGACTTCCATCATGAGTGCAACTCAAGCTCACATTCGTAGAAATACTTAAATATTTAGGGTGCCATGACAATGTTTCCCGTTTACCCTTAGTGTTTTGTTGTTTGACATTATAATTCTGTGTACCTGCTTCCCAGCTATTGCTCATCAATCTGCTGATCTCTTCATTTGAGGTGTCTTGACTCTTTGTTCTTCTACAGCTCTCAAATATAGCCTGTGTTTGACTCTTATCCTATAAAATTTCTCCAAAACAAATATTCATTGAGGTGAATCTCCATCCAATGTAATCTCAGATCTTGTAATTACAATATTATGATAATTAATTAATATAAACACTATCCCCATAGTCTGGGGGCAAGGAGATGTTACATTGTGTCCTGTTTTTCATGAGTTTTCATTCACTGTAAAACATGTGTAAGATTGAAGTAATGCATTTTACTGCCTTAGCACTATGGGATTAAATTTGGAAAGAACCTTCACCAAATAGGCTCTAGATTTCTTAACACCATTGGGTACATTTTCCCATTAATTGAGATTTTACTTTTTTAATTTTTACATTTGATAAAAACTTTCCAAAATGGTAAAGTGCCTATAAGAGTATATCCTTAGAGAACCACACTTCCTGCAGTAATATTCTCTTTTAACTTTCCCTTTAGTGTACTAATTCCTATGCAAAATATACTTTGGAAAATTTGACTCAACCATAAAGATACTTTTTCTACAGAAGCTACATTGGGAGAAAGAACTTTATTTTATTTTATTTATTTATTTATTTATTTTTTTGAGACAGAGTCCCACTCTGTCACCTGGGATAGAGTGCTGTGGCATCAGCCTAGCTCACATCAACCTCAAACTCCTGGACTCAGCCAGTTCTTCTTCCTCAGCCTCCTGAATAGCTGGGTTTTATAGGCATTTGCCACCACGCCTGGCTAATTGTTTGTTTGGTTTTTTTTTTTTTTTTCCTTTTTTGAGACAGGGTCTCGCTTTGTTGCCCAGGCTAGAGTGAGTACCGTGCCATCAGCCTAGCTCACAGCAACCTCAAACTCCTGGGCTCAAGCAATCCTGCTGCCTCAGCCTCCCGAGTGGCTGGAACTACAGGCATGCGCCACCATGCCCGGCTGATTTTTTTCCATATATATTAGTTGGCCAATTAATTTCTTTTTTATTTATAGTAGAGACGGGGGTCTCGCTCTTACTCAGGCTGGTTTGGAACTCCTGACCTAGAGCAATCCGCCTGCCTCAGCCTCCCAGAGTGCTAGGATTACAGGCGTGAGCCACCGTGCCGGGCCTGGCTAATTGTTTCTATCTTTAGTAGAGACAGGGTCTCACTCATGCTCAGGCTGGTCTTGAACTCTTGACCTCAAGCGATCCTCCTGCCTTGGCCTCCCAGAATGCTAGGCTTACAGGAGTGAGCCACCATGCCTGGCCAAGAGCTTTATTTTTCGAGAGTCTTCTTAACTTACTAAGAGGGGTTCTTGGTAGATGCCATGTGTCAGGAGTTCCAATGTTGCACATAGAGATGATTTTTTTCGCTAACTGTATTGAGGTATAATTTACATACCAGAATATAATCTCCTTATTTTCAGTGATTCAGTGATTTTGGTCAGTTTGTAGAGTTGTACAATCATCCTAGCATTTCAGTGTCAGAACATTTCTATCAGCCCAAGAAATGTCTTGGTGTCCATGTACAGCCTCTGGGCAGCTGCCACTCTGCTTCTGTCCCTATAAATTCCCATAATTAGTCTTTTAGCTAATAGTTAAGAAGGAACATATTTTATATTTTCATATTTTACCTACAGGCTAATTTTATCTACAGTGTATTGTGCGTACTGTGTATTTCTTAATTAAATTGGCACAGACAGTGTTAACACATGACCCAGCATGGGCAGACAGTGCTTATTGATGGTGACAAAGCAGAATCTTGGTTTTGTTCTAAGTTAGAATATTTTTTTTATTCTGAGTTGGCTCTGCCATTTTTCTCATTGAACATTATCTAGAAATAATGGACCACAAGTGGTTGCACAAGTAAGATACATCTTCTGAGAGAAAGGACTTGAAAATTCTAAGGTCTAAACGGCATGTCTAGTAGTAGTTTAAGAAAATATCATTCTTCTTTCTGTATCTACAGGTACAGCTTAAAGAAGCCATTGAAGATCTTCCTGGTAAAATGGATACTGAATTAGCAGAATCGGGATCCAATTTCAGTGTTGGACAGAGACAACTGGTGTGCCTTGCCAGGGCAATTCTCAGGAAAAATCGGATATTGATTATTGATGAAGCGACAGCCAATGTGGATCCAAGGTAGGGAGCTGATGTCCGTGTAACGCTGGCTCCAAATTTTAAATGTGGTCAGTGAGAAACATTTAAGGAAGGATGCTGAGAAATGTTTCTAAGTGTTCTGTTTTCCCCAAAGATACCTTGATGATATTACTTCTGATAACCAGAGACAGAAACCAAAAAGTTTTATAATGTCAGTGACATTATTAAGCATCCTTAGAGAGCTAGATTCCTAAATTCTATTCCTAACAGTCTAAGCAATTTGGAGGAAAGATAGTTTCCATTGCTTTATTTAAAAAAAAATAGTTTCATAGTAGACTTTTTGTGTTTAGTTTTTTAAGAATAAGGTTATGTTTTAAAATGTTGATTTTTAAAAGATTATGAAAATATATAATCTGTTTATGATTTTTTTTAAAGATCCCCATTGTGTGGTAGATCTTTTAAGTCTACTTTTGCCATCTTTACTGAATTAAGCTTCTCTGATTGTAGAACTGATGAGTTAATACAAAAAAAAATCCGGGAGAAGTTTGCCCATTGCACCGTGCTAACCATCGCACACAGACTGAACACCATTATTGACAGTGACAAGATAATGGTGAGTCCTGCGCCTGTGCAATTCCAGTTGCTTCCATTTATGTTCAGTTTTTCAACTTATTCTTGTAAAACTTGATAGAAACCCCCAATAAGTTATTTTCCATTAATTTTTCCTCTCATTCTCATCAATAACTTAACTATACATTCACTGCTGTTATTAAATAATATACCTGGCATATCTCTTTTCATATTTTTAATATTAAAGGTTTGTTTTTAATTGTCATTTTCTTTACATGGCCAGTGTTCCAAATATTTGAACATATTCCAAATCTCAGATACAACTCGTGATGCTAAGCGTCATTCTACAGAGCCAGTCACAGTTGTTTCTGCGCGTTGGAGTCCCTTAATCCAAAGTTAAGCCTTTCATTTAAACCGCCAGGAGGTTGTTGGGTAAGGTTGCAGAATTTCTCAGCTGTTGGGCTGTTCAGAAAATGTGCTTTCCAAGGGGAATTTTTGAGAATGTCCTTAACAAGTTATTTTCAGAAGGGACCTATTCACAAGAAGAGATGATTCCAACAGAAAGGATTGAACATGGGAAGTTTATTACATAAGACTTGGAAGGCCGGGAGAGTGAAGGGAAGCACCAAGGTAACAATTTCAGGAAGCAGCTGGGACAGATCTCCAGACCTAAGAACTCGAAGCAGAGGCTGCCGAGAGTTGGGGCCTAGACTTCCAACGAGAGGCCGCTGCCCAGCTGCAGTCGTATCTGTGAGGGAGCGAGATGAGGGTACCTCACATCGTTCCAGACGTGCAAATGGAAGTTGGAGTCTGGAGTCTGGGGTGATGCTGGCTGGACTAGCAGAAACCAGCAAGGGCATTTGCCCGTGTCCTGCAGTCAGTCCCCCACGAGTGCTCCCTGCTTAGGCAGAACCTAACAGGGCCAACCGGCCATGCAGACCCTGAGATTACCCCAGCACTGCAGGGTGTGGAAGGGGGATCTGGTAGCTGTACCCATGATAAGGCTGCAAGCTTCAGTGTAAGAATATTTGTGCAGCACCTTCCTTCTAGGTTTGATTAGTTCTTTCTGCCTTGGTAATTCAGTCTTTCCTTCTTTATTTTCGTCCTCCCTTCCCCTCTTCTTTTTCTTTCTTTCTTGGGAACATCCAAGAACATCCCAACAGCTGAGAAATTCTGCAGCCTTACCTAACAACCTCCTGGCAGTTTAAATGAAAGGCTTAATTTTGGAATAAGGGACTGACTCTGTAGCACGAGATGTATCTTAGATTTATAATATTTTCAAATATTTCTTTCTTCCTCTTCCTTCTCATCATCTCCCCCCACCCTCCCTTTTCCTTTCCTCTTGTTGCTTGCTCAGGTTCAATATATCTTAGGATGTGGCTTTATGACATGATGAGGGAAACACCTCTCAAAGGAAAAACCTTTGGCTACAAATACATTTAAAGGAACGTGAGTTATTTTCACACTGACCCAGGCCTGCGGCACGGGGCTGATTTTCGTCCATCTTGTGGATGCTGAGGGAGGACTGTCACTGTGTGGAGGGTAGCAGGGGTCATCATTATGCCAATCCCCAGGAATAGGAGCCAGGCGCTTCCACCCACCACATCCTGGGCTGCAGTGTCAGCAGTGCCTGAGCCTGGTGAAACAGAACACACCCACTTGCAATAAGTTACATGAAGTGGTTTTAATACGTGTAGATATGCAGCAAGGGACAAAAGGAATTTAGGATCCTTTGTGAGCTGGTCCCCTGGGGCTCAAGGAAGCTGCCCAGGGCAGAGAGAGACTAACTGTAAGTGCCCCACTCTCACCATAGTGGAGGGACCCCACAAGGCAGCCTGCCCGTATTGTATACCTCAGGGGCAACATGACTCACTGGGCAAAGCTTAGAGGGTCATCCTGCTTCCAGGAGAGAGGGGAACAAGGCCCAGCTATGTCAGGCAGTTCCTCCCTGCCTCAGGAAATTGCATTCCAGCACCGTCTACAATTATTCTAGAGAACCAAAAGCAAGAATTAGGTGAGTCCAAGGCCACCCAGAAAAGTCTCCTGTACTTTGATTTCTACTTTTTACCCATCATGTTTTGTTCTTGTCTGTCAGAATTGCATCTTGCAGACTGTCCCCAAGGCATTCTGCTTTCACAGTAAGTGAATGGTGCCCTAAAATTTCCTTGCTTGAAGCACTTTGCCAAGCTTTGGCTGCATCAGCACAAGGATGGTTTGATCCCCAGCTGAGCTGGCAGCTTGTTCGAAACAAATTCTTTGCTCCTAAATGAACCTTATAGACTTCTTGGGTTTTGGTATTACAACATTGATGACAGTGACTTCCTTTTATTATCAAATGCTTGGAAAGACTGTCAACTTTTGGAATGTATGATTGGTTAGGAAGACAGCATAGAAGGACAGAATTTGGCAGGTTTGGCAGCTTGTTGCTCCTAAAACTGATCAATCAGTATTTGACCCACAGACATGAACCTCTAGTTAGTTCGCGAGCATCCCCTTGACCCATCAGCATTGTTGCCGTTATTGAAATGTGTCTATTGGCTGGATGCTTTGCATATAATACTTCCAGGTAGATCTTGAAAACTTCCATTTTTTTCTCTCTTTATTAGTCTCTTTATCTAAACTCTTAGCATAACTTTACAAAGCAATTTACAGTGATCCCTTCCCTGCCTTTCTATCCTTGTTCCACTCTGCGCTCCCCCTTTCCTTTATAGCAAAAGCCACAGCGATCATCCTTGAGGTCTTCAACCACAGCGTTCACTCTCTTGCTTGTGTGCCTTCTCTCCCCGCTACATGTTGGTGGCTTAGACTAGGTGCACACAGTGGAGATGGTGACTAGTAAAATAGAGCCGCTGGACTGTCTGATGGATTGTATGTGGAATATGACAGAGGAGAGAGGAGTCTGTGCCAGTTTCTAGGGTTGGGGCCTGAGCATGGGGATGAATGGGGAAAACCAAGGGAGAGGTCGATTTGGAGAAGGAAGAGGCAAGAGTTCTCTTGGAGCACGTGACTGCTGAGATGGCCTTGCATTTCACCATACAACTGTCTCTCCCTACTCCCAACTCCAGTGTTGAGAGATCTTCAATTTAGGGGTTCCTGGCTACAAGGTCATCAGCTCAGGCATGTCACAAGGAAGTCCTACCAGAAGATGTAAACTTGGCCACTTGAGCTGGGTTTTCTTGTTGACTTCTTTTCATTTTTATATATATATATACACACACACACACACACACACACATATATATATGAAATAATGAATCTTATTATGAGCTCTGAATTCTTTTTGATGACAATTTCTAATTTCTCTTGATAGGGAATGGAAGGATTCAACCTCATGCATTTCATAGCTTTGGAGATAGGCAGTTGGCCTCTGTGCTCTCTTCCACTCTGGTTGACATTTCTGTTGTATTCTAGAGCTTCTGATCATCAGCTGGCTTTCAATTCAGCGAAACACCATGCATAATGTTCTTTCATAAACCTTTGATTTTTGAAGCAATATTCCTTTCTTGCTTGCTGTAGAAATACCTACTTCCTTTCCAGAAAACCAGAGATTTTCTGTTCTGGTATTCTGAAAGCTTTGAGGACATAAAGACAAGTGAATCAGCTGCCAAGCCTAATGCTCCGGAGGGCAGTGGCCAGGCTCGGGGAGTGGCAGGGGAAGTGACAGGTGCTAATGATGGGTATAACCGCCAGTGCTGTCATCAGAAAGTCGTGTAATTGGGAACGCTTAAGGTGTAATAATTACATTTTGTTGCACTGGTGAATACTTCTCCACAAAGACGGGATGGATATGGTTTTGTTTACTGGAAGTCAAACAAAAGGCTTGTTGAGAAACAACTGTGACCTAATTAACAGCTTTGTTTATACATTGGCTCTCCAAAGGGATTTACCCAGTTTTGGTTCATTAAGTGCCATTAATGTCGTAGGCTTAGAATTCAGTTTTATAAAGATGTTTTCTCAATTTTAACTGTATTAAACATGGTGTAGTCATAATGACAGCTAATGTAATCTTCCTCATTTGCCCAATTCCCACAAAACAGTAGAGCAAGAGAGATAAATTAGAAATCCTCTTTCTCTTAATACTCACCAATATATCCACATTACAGATTGTGTCTTCTTCCCTGTGGTTTTTAGGCTTAGCTGGTTACTTGTCACTTGTTTTCCTTTCAGCCAGTAGTGTAGCCTTTTCCTCCAATCCCTGCACATGCTGGTTATTACAACACTCCGGATTCTCCCTAGTAGCATGGGCAAATGACAATTAAGAGAATCTGCATTTCTGAATTCTTTGGGAATGAATTCTGGAGAACCCAAACCAAGGCTGAGAATCATGGATTGTAGCTCTTCTCTTTATAAGCAGTCTCATGGGTTTAGAATCTTTGCCTTTCTTTCTAAACTCCAATCGCTTTGTAGTAGTTTCCCCAGAGAGAACAAAACTAGAAACTGTTATAACATACCCAGCTGGAAAAGCACCTATAAAAACTCACTTGACTTTTATTTAAATTCTTGTTTTCACCTTCGTGGAACTCTTCCTTAATAAACCTACACTGGCCACAATTAGAACAATTCAGAAAGAACAGAAGATTCTACTTCAAAACTGTGCTGAGAGATTTAATTGAAATGTTCAGGAGGAAAAAGAACTAATATGATAGTAGAAGGCACAAACTGGGAGAAGAAATACTTTGCGATAGAGCGGGTACATGCAGTAGCAGGAGATTTGAGGGGCAGCTGTGTGGGTCACCATGACCTCAACCTTCATCTTCGCCAGGTGAGGAGAGTTATTTACTGTTTCAGGACCTAGGGAAGGACTTTGAGTAATACTTAACACTGTAATGCTACTCTGTATTGTCACAGAGAAATCACAGGCACCCATTTTACCAACCAGGGACCCAACTTCCAAGGTTGGATAAATGCGTATACACCACTTTGTCATCTGATGTCCCAAAGCAGGCCTGAAAGTCACATCCTCCTGTCCCTAATCCGCCTGTCTCTAAGTGGAGTCTCCCTTTATTGCTGTCGCCATGTTTAAGGTTGTTCTGGGCTTTTCTTTTCTTATGATCAGACCCTTTTTCCTCCACCCCGTCTTACCCCTCACCTGTCCCTGAGGCCACCTTACTGGAGGTGATGGCATCCTGCCAATTAACATGGATTATTTTGCAGCTAGTCCATTTAATTTCATGTCCAGGACAGCTACCTAGAACATCTACAGATACACAAGCCAGATAAGCACATCTTCATTGAGCTTATGTCACTGACTCACACATCCAATAGAATGTATTTTTCTGTAACCTGCTGGACAGCAGCAAACAGTTTGAGGTTGACATTGCTGGGGCGAAGCTGAGGCCCAGGGATTAACATTGAAATATGCTTTAGTTACAGTTTTCCTCGGGTACAGGAAGGGTGAGGACCACTGGGAGATTTCAGTTTGTTCTTATAGATAAGAAAGATGTTAAGATCAAAATTAATTATACCTGTTTTTCTATACGAAAAAGCAAATTCAGAGTTGCTTTATCTTTTTAAAAATTTTTTTAATTTATTTTTATTTATTTATTTATTTTTTTGAGACAGAGTCTCGCTTTGTTGCCCAGGCTAGAGTGAGTGCCGTGGCGTCAGCCTAGCTCACAGCAACCTCAAACTCCTGGGCTCAGGTGATCCTCCTGCCTCAGCTTCCTGAGTAGCTGGGACTACAGGCATGCACCACCATGCCTGGCTAATTTTTTCTATATATATTAGTTGGCCAATTAATTTCTTTCAATTTATAGTAAAGATGGCGTCTCGCTCTTGCTCAGGCTGGTTTCGAACTCCTGACCTTGAGCAATCCACCCACCTCGGCCTCTCAGAGTGCTAAGATTACAGGCGTGAGCCACCGCGCCCAGCCTGCTTTATCTTTTTAGTTGTGCTAAAAGATCTGGGATCTCTGATCAAATCAGTAAATATAAATTGCATATCCCTAATCTGAAATCTGTAGTGCTCCAAAATCTAAAACTTTTTTAGCTTTGACAATGACACTCACAAGAGATGCTCATTGGGGCATTTCAGATTTTTTTTATTAAGGATAATGGATTGGTAAGTAAATATAATGCAGATATTCCAAAATCTGAAAACTTTCAAGCCCCAAGCTTTTTGGATAAGGGAAGTTCAGCCTGTAGAAATAGGTAAAATTGTACTCCTGGCATTTTTTCCACGTGCATCCTCAATTGTGTCTGATAGCACCTGACTGTCCCTCCTCTTCTTTCTCTTTTCCAATATTTGATAAAAATGTGTCTCAAGCCTGGGCGCTCGTGCCTGCTCTCTCTCTTCCTCACTTTTCCTCCCTCTCTTGCCCATAGCCATTACCTGGAGGCATGTGGTCCGTCCTCCAAGCCTATACCTTAATCCTATAATCCCTGTGCTCCCCTGCCCATCTGTTTCCCAAAGCCAGCCGGATCCTTTGTCTCCTGGTCGCACCCTGTAGCCTTTACCTGACTGCTCCAGTTAGGAAAATCACCCAGTCACACCCTGGATTTAGTTTCCTTTGCGTTTAACTTTTAGCCACTATGCACTGGGTGCCTGCTAACCTGTCGTGTACAGCCCCTGGCTCTAGAGATGCACCAGTGAACAAGGGAAGCCACGTAACCCTGTCCTTGAGGAGGGGCCAGGCTTGCCACCAGTCATCTTGTCCCCTGTCATTCTCAAGTCTGGGATGACCACTGTCCTCCACCCTAATTTCTACAGGTGCAAGCGTGTCCATTGCTCAAGGCCCTCCTTGTTTGCTGCTCACTCCTCCCAGAAGCTCCTGCTCAGAACCTCTGGCCAGAGGTGACTTCTGCTGCTGCTAAACTCCTGCTGCTTTTGCCTTTTTTCTTGGATTAGAGTCCCTTGAATATTTTCTTCTCTCTCATCTTTGAGTATAGGCTTCCAGAAGACAGGGACTGGGACTTAGCTATCTTTGCCTCTTCCCCAGCGTCTAGCATGATAGCATGAATGTATAATAATAAGTGTGCAAGAAATGTGTGCTGAGAAAATTCAGGAATTCTTGAAAAGTCACTTAAATTTCCACCCAGTGTGTTTTGGCCACATGTTACTTGTTCTTTATTAATCCTCAGAGTTTAATCAAGTTGGCTTTCTTTTTCTGTGAGTATATACCAGGAACACAGTAAATAATTCTGAGTCCTGAGTATAATAAAATTGCAGTGGGACAAGGACAGGGGAATGTTTATTTTTTACAGGCATATTTTCTTAAATTATGCAGAGTCAATATATTATCCAAATAAAAAGGTATCTTAGAAAAGTACATGTTTAACATTCTCATCACCCTTATTTTACTTCTGATAATAAATAAACTAATAGTGTATATCTGGGACTAAGCTGGAGAGGAAAGAAGGCAGGTTCGGACCTGGGTTCAAATCCTACCTCTGCTACCTCCTGATTTATGCAGCCTGGGCCCACTTGTTTAACTTGTCTGCACTTAAGTCTTTATCTCTGGCTGTTGTCTGCATCTTGACCGACTGTTTCTTGCTCGTCTTTGAATCTCTCATTCCTAAAACAGTGCTTTGGTTATAGGTACTCACTTAACATCAGAGGAATGGATGGAAGGGATGAAGGAAATGATCTGCCTTGTTGTCTACTCTGCTTTGAGAGTTAATGGTGATCACAGTAAAAGCAGAGAATGTTCAACCCATAGCCATTTTTCAATTCTCCTTTTCAAGTTCAAAAACTGATACGTTATTTACAGGGTGATTCCGTTGCTCTTATGGTAGCCATATTCTTTGTTACGTTGTATTTCTGTGCCTGGGCGTGCACTACCTCTCAAACCTTGTGGATCCATTTGGGGCTATAATATTCCAGTTCATTTTAAGATACTGTATTTTGTTTTAATGCATACTAAAACAGAATTAAAGAGGTCTGTTTTATTTTACATTTTGAAAATATTATCTTACAGAAGTTAAAATGTAAGGTCTAATAAATTATCAAGCATTAATACAAATGATCACAGTTCTGTCACCCCTGAGATTGACAAGTTTCCTAAAAAAATAAAATGCAGTCATTAAATTGTTAATACGTGTAAGGCTTAAAATATTTTGACCAAAACGATCTTTCTATGGTTTATATTGTTAATGCTATTGCTTTTTGAAAGCATTAATTTTTTTTCTGGCTCTGCCCTTTTAGATTCTGGTCAATTCTGAGAACTGGTCAGTGGCATTCATGTGTTTTCAGACAATATAAGGGAAATTAGAAAGATTTACTGGTCACTCAAATATGAATAGATTTCATAGAAAGTTGGACAAGGACAAAATACTAGAAGTACTTTTCTCCATTCAAAGCTATGTAAAATCTTTATAGTCAAGGAACTCACTCTCTACCGTATCTGAGGTTTTAAATGTTTACTTGTTGCTTCTGCAGACTAGACGTTCACATTTTATAAATTTGATTCACTTATTTACTTAATTGTTAGCATGAGAGAGACCTGTATTTTAAAATTGCATTTTTTTCCCCTCCAACGTCAGGAGGAGTGGTTATGCCTTATAATGCTATGCTTAAGTAAAATTACACATTCGGGGCACCTAAATTGGCATGCCAAATTATAGGACATTTTAATTATTATGTGGATGTGACAGATTCAATTATTCTTGAACTCTTTTGAGAAAGCTGCCCTTAGCAGCGATTCACAGTGGTAAACAAAAGATTAACAGGAAAATGCCCTTTATGAGACTTAATAAATGTGTCTGATTAAATACCATGGGGCAGAATTAACTGCAATATCTAGATGTAGAAAAACAACCTGTGTCCTGCTTAGGGTTTCAGCATAGTCTCTTAAGATAAATGTACTCTAAATACAGCCTAAATGAAGAACTAAGTACCACTTAACATCAGAACTATTTTCCTAGGTACGTCATTTGGGCCAATTGTTTCAGACTCTTTCTTCCCTCTGAAACCATTAACCAAAGCCACTAATAAGTCGAAATGCAGAGTTAAGAGCCCCTTTCTCTCCCTTTCAATTTCCAGTGGACGTATTAATGAGCAATAAAATGGCTCAAGGCAGGCAGCTAAAGAAAGAGAGAAAGAAGCAAGGAAAGGCGATTGTGAAAACAGGTATTCAGACCCTCTGCAAAAGCAGGTTAGGCTGCCCCCGTGTGCCGTGTGGGCCCATGATCACCGGTATTTGGAGCTCAATTTCTTAATTGCTTCTTTAGTCTTATCCAAAGGGAAAATTGGATTTCTAGAGATTTCTTCTGTGCAGAGAGCAATCATGCTAAAGCTGCTTAGGTGGCAGCTCTTTTGGCCAGCCTTTCAGTCTTGGGATGATAAACTACACCCAGCACCTACTTTGGGATGCACCTTAACCGCGCTGTGGAGGCTTCAGCCCCTCTTAGCAGCTGACATATTCTAGGACCCTGCAGAAATTCCAGAAGCATTTAATTCTTTTCCAGATATCGCTCAGACAACATCGAACCTGCTTGGCTATTAATTTGCCATCAGATCTTTGCCATCTGGTTTTTATGACGTCACCGTACCTTTTAGATAAATGGAGTTTGATTTTCTTAAATCAAGACGTTTTTGACTCTGAATATAGGTATAAATAGCCCTCAAAGCTTAGAGTCTGAGAGTTAAAAGCACCTACTGATGATAATAACCCAAAATGCCCTCGGCAGATTATAAAATGCCGCAGGCCTGCCAAATGCCCATAATAATAGTCTAAAACTTTCATTTTCTTCCTTTCCTGTAACATTATAATAATAAAAGGTCAGGTTAGGCCTTTGTTTGCTTTGGAACACAGGGTAATCAAACCGTTTAAACACCATCCAGGCCTACCACCCAAATAGATTGTCTGTATTCTCCCTGCCCCTGGCCTTTTCCGAAATATTGTCTGAGTTATAATATGTTACTGCAAAACATTGTGTTTCAATGGGGTTTCTTTCTGCTGATTAACAGGTTTTGGATTCAGGAAGACTGAAAGAATATGATGAGCCATATGTTTTGCTGCAAAATAAAGAGAGCCTATTTTACAAGATGGTGCAACAACTGGGCAAGGCAGAAGCCGCGGCCCTCACTGAAACAGCAAAACAGGTGAGCGCGCTCCCAGGAGTTGTAATTAAAGTTTGTCTCAACAACTCACTCCGCACAATTTGGCACCATGGGTATGGTAACGAGCACTGTGCGCCCTTTTCAATTATAAGCCTTCAGAGCCAATGCTTGGTAACTGGGCCTTAACAATACGTCCCGGGCTGAAGTCAGGTCTGCGAAGCGTCTGCAGAAGCTGGTGGGGGTGGAGTGTGCGCACGCGCACATGTGCAAGCAGGTGTGCCTAAGAGGGAGAGAGACTGCAGACAGGACTTTGCACGTTTAGACTCTGTGGGTTCAGATTCTCGTATACAATGGCATACGGTACATCATACCTATATTTTGCAGACCTGTTGCATTTCATTCTTATGAGAGTTTAGCACATTTGAGATGAAAATGCTGTCAAAGGTACCCCCAGGAAATTTGAGGGTTTATGAAAAATAATGTGGAATATTTATCTGTTCTAGAAAGATCTATCAGGGAAACGTGTAGATTGCTTTTGAGTTTTGTTATATAATTGGTAAAGAAACCTCCTTATATAAGACTGTCACTTTCTACCTAGGTTTTTCCTGAATTCTTTGTTGTTTAGAATTAGGTCTAACTACCCCTCTTATGCTTCCTCTACCTTCTAGAAGATGAAATTGTTATCAGGACAAATCCAGAATGTGTAATGCCTTAGAGCTATAGTCTGAATAGTGCTTGAAGGTTTACACAACATCAAAGACATTGAGTTTATGTGCTATCTTTCTCACAGCAGTGACGTAGGACTGTCTCATTCTACAGGTACAATAACTGCAGTTTGGGTTAAGTGTGTTAGCCAATGTCACATGGTCACCTGTATATCTTTCTTATGATTCTATGAGGTAGGAGTTGTACTGATGGAAGGATGGAGGGGAAGGAAGGAAAGTCTGGTGTTCTTGCCACTTGATATGCATGGCTTAGGGTGGAATGGGACTTCCAGGGGTACCTGGTGTGACACTCTCTATCAAAACTGCTCATCTCTAGGCAGTATATTATGGGTGTGGTTTCCTTTTTCATTCCTTTCTGTGTGTTTCCCAGATTTTCAACACCATGGGTAGAAGAACATTGGTGGTTTTGTGTAATCTTTTAAATATCTAGTAAAGATAACAGAGTAAGAAATATTTCAGTATTTAACAGTCCTTCTGCATGAAAGATTATCCAAAATGCAGCCTGGTTTCCCTTCTGTCACTGTTTCATCCCATTCCTCCTTAGAAATGAGGAGCTGTGCTTTCCTCCGTCTGTAGGATATTTCTTTGATTCCCACTTGCACCCTCAGAACTGTGTGTGCACAGGCTTATGCCGGGTACTAACAGACGTGTTAGACATGCCCCAGTCATCAAAGACACGAACCAAAGAATAGAGACGAGCAGAGATTTATACGTTGAGTCATTGACGATGATGAGAAGGAGGATGATGATGATGATGATGATGAGACTTTGACACTTATGCGCCATGCCCTGTGCTGTGATAAAGGTTCTCTTCTCATTATGCCTGTTTAAGAGGCTGAGGCTTAGAGAGAGGAAGGGAATTGCCCAGGACCTCATAGCTAGCAGAGTAATTGGCAGAGTCCAGATTCAATCCTGGGTTCAGGGAGAGCAGAATCTGTTTTCTGAACGTCCCATAAGAGAATTCCATCCTGCATTAATGAGCAGAGAAGCTGTACTTGAAGCACTACATTCATTTTTTTCATGCCTGAAATCATACAGTACTTTCTTATCTTCTAGATTATCTCCCCAAAGCTTCCCTCATAAAACCTGATCAATCATTTGGCTTTCCCTGTATAATCTAGTCACAAAACAGCCAGGAACCTGGGAAACACTTTTTGTTCTTTGACACCCCAGGCGTTTCACATCAAAGTAATGGGTCCCCACCTACATGCCAAAGTCCCCATTTTGAAACCATGTTATGTATTATCGAGGCATTGAGTAAGAAGAAGATTGTTGAATTTTTAGATAGCTCCAGCTAACGTAAAACAATATGGCTCAACACCCTTGTTTTACAGATGAGGAAACTAAGGTCCCACGAGGTTTGGTGGCCCAGTGTTAGGCTCGTTTGTAGCAGAGACAGTGTTACAAACCTTCTTTTTCGGTTGTTTTGCTTCAGGTGTACCATAACATGCAGAAAAGCACATAGGTCATAGAATTAGATATCACGTGATTCCTGGTCTCATAATCTTTCATCTAATTCAATAATGTTAATGATAACTGACATTTGTGTAGTTGTTCTTATTTTACATAGTTCTTGTATGCATGATTCCACTTCATTCTCACAGAACTTTTTTAAAATTTGTATTGATGAGGCTATTGGGTCAAGGGTTCTCATGATGTTGTCACAGAGCTGGTCAGTGGGGAACAGAAGGCAGATGGCTGGGTGAGGCCGGCGCGTTGTCCTGGTCACTGCGTTCTGTGTTGTGTTTGAAAACACTGCTCCTTGTTTCATTTGCTATCTAAGGTGAGGCCAGTCACCCAAATTTACACAGTAGCAGAACATCCCTCTTGGATTTCATTCCTACCTCACCGCTGCCTCAGGTCACCTCTACAGAAAGGCTTAAGGAAATACATATCTTGACTCTCGTCCGAGTTGAATATCTTCTTGACATTATTTCTACATACACTTGGTCCTCTTAGGAGAACAAGCTGTCAGATTGTCAACCTTTTAAATGTACAAACATCAGATACCAATGCATCATTCAGAACTGTAACACCGTGAGGATTAGTCTAAATCAACAAGCTTTTCACTCCAAACAGATTAGAATTCATTCGTTTGAAAAGAAAACTCAACATCTGGGGAAAGGTACTTCCAAGTCACGTATTCTTGACCACGTAGTTGCTTTTCCGAAAACAGAGCAGGCAAGCTGAATCACTCTTGACTGACCTTTCGAGATGACTCATGAGAAAGTACTTTACAGATACGGAAAGCTGAAGGGAAGGGCACGCTGGTTTGCTCAGGCTGCCCTAACAAAATCCCACAGAGTAGGTGGCTTATTAAACAGCAGAAGTTTATTTTCCCACAGTTCTGGAGGCTGGAAGTCCAAGATCAAGATAGGAGCAGGGTTGAGTGTCTCTGGGGACTCTTGCCTTGGCTTGTAGAAGGCCACCTTCCAGCTGTGTGTTCACATGGTCCTTCCTCTATGTGTGTCTATGTCCTGACTGCCTCTTCTTCTAAGGACACCAGTCATACTGGATTAGGGCCCACTCTAAAGACCTCATTTTAATTTAATCGTCCTTAAAGACTCTGTCTCTAGATACAGTCACAGTCTGAGGAGCTGGGGTTTAGGGTTGCAACTTTGGAACTTGGGGAGGACACACAATTCAGCCCATAACAAGGGCCCATAACAAAGGCCCTTCCCTGATGAAGCAGACTTAATTGAGGTTTTTAACGTTCCTTTGTTCCTAATTATAACAGAACATAGCAACCTGTGAAATAGCCAGATGTGACTCGAAAGTTATGAAATCCTGACATCCGAGGTTCTAGAAAGCTGGCCCTGTTTGGGCAGGTGCAAGAGTAGCCTCGTATAAGGCACCCAGGGTCACTGAGGCTCTGGGTCCTCGTGTGTAGTGCAGGGACTGTGGAAGTGCCCCGGCTTCTTCACAGCCACAGGTTTTAGGTGAGGTCGTATATGTCCAAGTGCTTTCAAGACTATAAAGTGTTCTGCAGATGTGAGCAGATTCTAATTATTGATGATAAAAGTGTGATTATTTTTTAAAAGGCTATAGAGTGGACCCTTACTCCCAATAATAACAAAAGAAGTATCCAAAGTTCTTCTAAGTAGCTTTAGAGACTCTAAATAATTTAAAAAAAAAATTGGAGGGGGGGGTTTGAGATAGGGTCTTGCTCTGTCACCCACACTAAAGTGCAGTGGCATCTTCTTAGCTCACACCAACCTCAAACTCCTGGGCTCAATCAATCCTTCTGCCTCAGCCTCCCAAGTAGCTGGGACTACAGGCACATGCCACCACACTGGCTACTTTTTCTATTTTTAATAGAGATAGGGTCTTGTTCTTGCTCAGGTGAGTCTCAAACTCCTGAGCTCAAGCAATCGTCCCACCTTGGCCTCCCAGAGTGCTAGAATTACAGATGTGAGCCACTGCACCCAGTCCAAAATTATTTTTAATAGCTTAATAGGTGATGCATACTGATGCTACAAAATGAAAAAAAAATTATACGGTTTTGGTGTTTTTTTTAACTTTTATAAGTAAAAAGTCTCTTTTCCATTCCTATCTCCCATCGTGCGGTTCCTTCACCAGGATGGAGCCCTGACACTACCTTTTACAGTTTTGTTGATCATATTCAGTGCCTAAACAAGAACATGTGCTTATATGGCCTTTCTGTTTTTTAAGCACAAATTTTATCTATTTTTTTACTTTATTTCATTTAATATTATGTTTCAGATGGTAGTAGTATATATAGTTTTCTCATTGTTTAATGGCTACCCAATATGTATACATCCTCCAATCTCTATATTCCAGTTTTACCTTTCAATTAAATTAGCTAGCTATTATGTTTTTATGTTTTTCCCCCAAAGAATGAGCTGTCAGATTTATTTACAAGTTCTTATATTCTGTTTTGCAGTTGATAATTTCTGCTTTTGTCTTTATTCATTCCTCCCTTTTTTGGCTTATTTAGTTGTTGCTTACTTCTTAAGTGCATTTGTATTCATTCTTCCTTATTAATATAAATATTTTTAAAACTGCAAATTTTCCTCTGAATACTGCTTTAACTATATCCGATAGGTTCTGATATATAGTGGCTTTCATCATAGTTCATTTTATATGTACATATTCTGCAATTTTGGTTTTGATTTTTCTTTTGGGATTAGAAATTATTTAAAAGAGAGATTTTTTTAAAACATTTTGTGATAGGGTTTCTTTTCTATTTTAGTCATCGGTTTTACTCATTGCAATGTTGTCTGTACTGTATCTACCCATTTGGAATTTATTAATACTTTTTTGTTTCCTAGTATATAAGCAATTTTTGATCATTGT